AATGCGTGCCGGCTCAACTCTGTCAGCTGAATTCACGAGCTCAGCTGGCGGGATACAGATATGGCGCACTGATGCAGCTGGCAAGGTGAGGAAAAAAAGGGGGCGTGAAGGGATTTTAGGGGTGGTAGAGGGAACATGAAATACGGTCTCAAACGGCAATGTGTTAGTGGTATTTCGTGCAAGACACTGTTGGCTACTTCTGCTTCTAAATGGACGTGTTATTTTAGTGTCAGATCCGTCATTGTTCTTCACGACACAATGAAGAATCCATTTTGTGAGTTATATATCCCTAGTTTTGTGATGGTACGTGAACTTGCTACACACAGTCATGCTTTTGGGTCTAGCCTGTGTCTTGTGTCACTTTTAAGAATCTGGCTTGATTCGTTTTTTTTTTTTACACTCGTGTTTGCTTTTCTTCCAGCCTGCCGGTCTCATGGCTTCTGATGAAGAATTCGCAACAATCAATGACGTCACTTTGTAGAGCCGTGACTACGTCTTCGCCTGATGCTAGTTCTTGCCAAAGGAGGTATCCAAACTGTAACTTGTGAAGGTGAAAACTGAGGAAAAAAGTTATTTTGTGATGAGGGAAGTCGCTTCAGAATGAACAAGCTATTATTTGCTCTTTGAAAAAAGTATTCTATTGTTGCATCTAATTGTTATGTATGTACTCTAATCCATTGAAGCTGGGGGTTGTATTGGCATTGTGTTCATTACGATTGATTAACCCGCGCCCCACTGGGGGGGGGGGCTATTTATAGCCCCCCCTCCCGTTTTTCGGCAATAACTTCCAAACCGCTTGACGTATCGACGCCAAACTTTCAGTACCTTAGGCTGCATCACTTTGACACCTTGTGTCAAAATTTGAACTTCGTAGCTACCATAGGTTGACCGGAAATGACGTCAGAGTGACGTCATGTTCGGCCGATTTCGACGCAAAACATTGAACCACGGCAATCGCTCCCAAGGGCTCAGTTTTTAAGCTAGATCCAATTTCTTTGCATGGGAGGACTCAGAATAGACTGCGCTATCAAACTGCTATCTCGGATTTTCAAAATTTTGAAAATTTTGAAAATTTTATAAAATAAAATTCAAAATTTAAATTTTTACATTTTTTTTCAGAAAGTTTTTGATTTTTCGAAAAAAACCGGAATATATGTGATAGAACGCATTATTATGACTAACTCTAGCAAGTTTTAGCTCAATATCTTCAAAAATGGTCAAGTTTTACGCATTATTGCAAAAAATTCACAATTATTAATTTTTCAAATCATTTTTTCAGCACGTATTTGACATCGTACGCCAATATAAATAGCACCATCGTGTTCCTGAGCTCAAGCTGCATCCAATAGACACCTTTTTTGTTGAAAAATTTTAACTTCAAAATTTGACCTTTTTTGACCTGAAAGTGACCTGACCTAAGCTAAATTCGACTCAAAATGACCTCAAATGACACAGACGACATCAAATTCGAAATCTCTGATCTAAATGGACCATAAAACATGTGTCACGTGACCGACACATGATATAATATTTTCGTGACCTGTGATGACCTGACCTTGACCTGAAAATCAAAATACAAGTTTGGTACCCTCAGGGTAACAAGAGCATCTGTTCCCGAGTGTGTGATCCAAAAATGAGCCTGATCTGACTTGTAAGCCGGCGGCCAGAGCCCAAAACGTGAACAAGCCAAAATGCTAATAATTTTTACTTTGACCTGACCTGTGACGTCATCGGTGACCTCGAGGTAAATGAAATTAGGTTTCGCTCGACAGTTTTTCCGGGGCTATCAGACGCCGTTTGAATTTTGACGATCGGCCCAGTAGTTTCGGAGTTAGGAGGGGGGGCTATGAATAGCCCCCCCCCCCCCCAGTAGGGCGTGTTATACGCAGACCCCAGTGGGGCGCGGGTTAATAATAATATCAATCTAATACAGCTTATGTTGACCAGAATTGTATGGGTACACCATTGTGCGAGAACTGTGCGTCTTTTAATTTGAGTTCGTGTCAGCTTTAAACTAACTTTATAATAGCAACCGTCCTGTTTTATAACTTGCAATATTTATTTTTTCTAGTGCCGTTAATCTCTTTTTCTGCATTTGTTTCTGGTTGTTATTCGTATATCTATGTCGGCCTCTTTCTCTTGTAAGTTGTGATAGACTGTTGTGTAGCTATTTGCATAGTCCTAAATCATTAAAGCGTTAATAAAGGGCATTCTTGTGGGGAGGTTTGTCTTTTGATTTCCGTTGTTGTCATTAGAGAGGTATGTAGTTAGGTAAGAACGCCGCCTATCATTAAGTTCAACATCACATATAGCCACGATAAAACAAATGTTCTCGTTTTCTATCGTTTTCTTATAGCAGACGCAATACAAAACACTACAACAACAAAGCGATTAAATCTACAGACAGGTCTAGTAATGACGTTACACAAAGCAGACGAAATACAAAAGTCAGGCACAAAACACACACATATTATAAAACTTTACGATTGTAACTTGCTACGATCGTCTCGTATTCATATCTCACAAGAGCATCGACGCTTATTTGTTTCTCAATCTTAGCACATTTGGGAACACGCTTCATTCTACATCAAATTATTCCCAGAATTATGCCACGTGGTATTGCAAGGCATGCACCTACTGCTTCTGCGAGACTATTGTGCTTTCACAGCAAGCTGGTACTCAAATAATAAACAAATTAAAACGATTTAATAATCAATACTTGATTCATTTAACCACACATAAGACTGAGTCAAATTATATCAAATGAATGTCTCCCTTCACAGCAAGTTCTTACAATAGCAAAACAGCTTTTTCTCGCCAGCTTCAGTTATGCACTCACTTTGCCCCTTATAAAGATTAAGTCGGGACAAATCCAGTACAGACATGGTATGCTTGAACTGGCATCTTTCAGCCAGCCAATCATCCTCCTGATCTTCTGAACGACTTTTTGGCTTCGTCTTGGGCGCACCGGTTGGAGGGGGCCCCTTCCAGCATCTGATAGTGGCTTCAAATTCTCCCATGCCAGGCTCGGTCACAAATTGAACAACGAGTTCCTCAAAGGATTGTCTCATCTGGCTATTATCCTGCTCCCGGGCACCTTCAGAGATAGTATGCTGCGCAGAAACTACACGTGAGAGGGATAGTTCTACGCATTTCTCGCGCGCTTCACCTAGGATAACATTATTGATGTGGTATACAGTAATAAAGGCCGCACGCAGCACAACAGAACTATTGGTAGAAAGAGGTTTTCTGGCGCGGCATACACACCAGTGAGGTGCAATCTCTGCCGCTTCACAGGAACGCTCTTCGGCGATAGGTTCAAACAAAGACACTCCCGGATGGCGCATTGGGGGTGGAACAGCACCTCCAGCATCTACTAGGAGTTGTCGTAGAGTCGCATGAACGTCAAAGAACGTCGTGAGTCTATGACAGTTGATGCGTAGGTTGGCAACACGTTCCGGGTAGCGTTTCTCGTACCAGGGAGGGAGAAGAATGTAGAAGAATGGAAGACGTGATTCGTAACCACCGAGTTCGGTCTTCATGATTGATCCTATACGTACTCCATGATCGCTAAAGACCAACAGAATGGATGAATTGAAGCGTGACGACTTTGTGAAGGTGTGTATGAACTTCCCAAGTCTTTTCTCCATGGGATGGACGTACGTCAGTGGTCCACGATGACTCAAAGAATTGCTAAACACGAGGGAAAACTGCGGGGTCACCTCCGGTAAGGAGATGAAGTCTTCCAACCACTGAATCTGAAGGTCAAAATGCGCTCTCTGGTTAACACACGTGATTGTGGATTTTTTGACGGAGGTAGAATTACCCATAGCACGATAGAGTGGTCGCATATAGTAGTCTGTTGGGGTGATATGAAATCCCTTGCGGTTATAGTTAAAGGTGGACATGAAAGATTCATCTTCTGTGTAGAGTGTGCTGTATCCAAGGGAGGAGAAATTCTTCCACAGGAGAGGCAAACCATCGAGAGGTTTTCCAGAGAATGGTTTTAGCTCGTCAATAGTCATTCCTGCAAGCAAAGGCAGCATATTTGGGAGTGTGTTCCTGCCGACTTTAGTCAGGCCGTTCATCATAATAGCACCCAGCGACTTCAGCTTCTTGTCCACCTCAGGCATCTGCCTCTTGAAGTTGAGTCTGGAAACCGAATCGATAGCAACCATGTAAACATTGAGCTTGTCCTCACTGCTGGTAGAACTAGCAGTCGATTTGGAGACTTCCTTTGGTGGCTTTGGTAAAATGAATGCTCGGAAGTCTTCGTATATTACCGACTTACTACCCTTACAAAAACATTGAACTCTTACGAGCTCATCCTGAACAACGATCGGTTTTGTGCTCCCAAAGCAGGCAACTTTGCCCTCAATTTTGTACTTATCGTCGGATTTTCCCTCTCCGTCTCGTCTCACAGCTTGAGTGCAGCAGGTGACTTCACACTGCTGGTGCAATTGACCTTTGTTCACGTGCATGCTAAGGTTGCTTCCATTTTGTTGCAATTCTATTGCGTAGTTTTGACGGCATCCACCGAATGGTTTTTCGTTGTTGATTATTCCTGTTACCGTGGGGTCCCAAGGATCATATTCATGCAGTTGACAAGCGCTAGTATTTACCACAAGACCTGTGGGGATGGGATGGTTCGGCAGCTTTGCTCCATGAGAAGGAGTGGTCCTCTTACGATTTGAGACTGTGGTTGTTGTTGAGGGACGTCTTGTCGTTTTGTCACGTTTTCTTGTTGTTTTGGTTGCTGTTTCTGAAGCTGTGGATAGTTTCCTGAGGGCATTTCTCGGCGATTGGCTTATCCAAGCCTGCTTGGTGTTGTCATCTGGAGTTGTTAGACGACTATATCCTTCAGATCGTTCCCAAGAAGGAGCAACCGTTGGCGCACTTTGTTCTACTAAGACATAGAAATTGGACTTAGTGGCCGGAAAAATGTCAACGTAATTGATCATTCCGACTACAGCTACGACAACAAGTACGGCCATGTATTTCGAATAATTTTTAGTTGCGGCCATTATTCACCTCCTTCACTCTTCTCCTTATCTCCGCTGATTTGTACTTCTTTCTCTTCTTCCTCGCGTTTTGCTTGTCAGGCTTTTTCTCCTTCTTGGTGTATTGCAAACCTAAAACGATCGGAAAGCATGTGAACAAAACAATTCAAAGTTGATTTTTGTATAAGGCTATCATACACGACGGACAATGGAAAAAATATAATGCTAAGCATCGTGCATCAACTATACTCTGTTCCGTTTCAAGTTTGCAGCCGAAGTGCCCTGCTGAAAGCAGTGCGTGATTTCTGTATATACAGCTCTTACATTTTAAGCGCAAATCCTTGAGAGGAGGAGCGATCTGCCGAAGAAACTCCAACTGCAAGCTTGATATGGAACAGACTATAGCAAGAATAATTTCTAGAATAGAATGGTGTGGAACAGATGGCCGCCTATTTGGGCCCTTCCTTCCAAGTTGATGATACAAGTTCGCCTGGATTGCCCGATCGTTTGGTATTGGTCAATGGTCAGTGTCTGTCCATTGTTGTGTCCATGGTGCTGGCTCAGGGATCGTACATATCTAAGTTGAAATTATTCTAAAATGAATAAGAATGATTCAAAAGGACGAAGTAAAAGTCGAGTGTAGTATTCAGTTATGATCAAATATAATGATATTCAAATGTGCATTCGACCTTCGCTCATTTTTGGTAAAAATATAACCAACTTTGGCGCTCTACCAAATATTTTAGAGTTCATTTTCTTTTGAATTTGCATGAAGCGGAGCTTAAAGTGTAAGGTTTTGACCGCGGCATATTCGACTATCCGTTGCCGGCCTGGAAGTCTTTAGTCTGCTCGATCGCGGCGTCCTCTATAACTAACAAACAGCCTCAACAGCTGCCCGGTCAGCGCCGGCGGTCACATGCGACATTGCCACTCAGCTTTGTAGGTAATTCCTACATACAACTCATCCTTCCTATGTATGTATTACATAGATGCCACGCGTTCCCGGTTATAACAGTCCGGGTTCGAAGCGCGACGGGCGCTTGACATTTATGGGCCTCCTGCCAGGATCCGCTACTGTGTGACCAGAGCTCTGTTCGCCCCCATTTATCTATCAGCAGGCTGCGAGCATGCTGCTACTTCTTGCCTCCTCATTATTGGTCCAATTCAAGTGGTCTATTCGCTAAACCAATGAGAGGCGAAGAAGCGCCAGCAATAATTTCCTTATATGGGGAAAACCGACAGCACGCTGATATAAAAACAGCGACCGAACAGAACTCAGGTTTGCACCCGAAACTAGCTTAATCCCCTCCCATGGACGCAAATTGATCGCTACCGTTACAACGCAAACACAGCTATCTTATCAGTCCAAACAGATAGAACCTAAGCCCTTAGATCAATTGCAATAATGCATTCACCGGATGCGATGTGTAAAGAGTTTTCACTTCAAGCTATCGCTTACGTTTAAGCACTTCGTTTAATGTCAAGTCCTGTTGCATATCAAGGCATGGTTTTATTCCACTATCGCCGCCAGTAGCCAACTCTACCATTCAGCTGGTTATAATCGGTTTGCTCTAAGAGCTAGAACCGTTCACAGTATAAGTAGATATTTGGCTGCCTTTTACCAAACAATCAAGTAACTGTGGCTTAGGAGTGTATATTTGTCTAGGGCTTGCTCAAAGCAAAGTCGACTCAAAGCGAACTGAAAGCTCATGGTGAAGTGAAGTACTTGAAATGAGCTCGAAAGCCAGAGTTATGAGAAAGCATATCATTACCAGACTTTTTGTTTCCTTGCTTGGTGCCTTCATCAGTGACAAAATTTTTGAATGTAGCAAAGGCGCACCCATAGTATTCACCTTGATTGGCTAATTTGTATATACCTACCTAGAAATTAAAAGTTTCTTTTTTTAATTTGAGTTATTATAAAAGCAATGCCGTTATAGACATTGCTTAATATGTTATTACTATGTTATGTAAATTGACGATTATTTCCATTTGGAAATCAATCATTCAGAATTTTTTGATGCCACAAGAAGGCACATAAAACACACTTACTGCTACAGGTATGTTGTAAAAATGGATGTTAAATGACTGACGGCTACAATCCAGACAATGTTTGTCTTTGGTTGTTGCACGTGGCCTACATCTAGTTTTAATCGTTTTTTTCTGCTACCTACATATCTATCCATGCTACGTCACCGATGAATCCGTGGGGCTTTTAGAACACTTGTTAGTTGACCCTCTTGCATGTTACGAAATTGTTGTTACAAAAATGTTGCTATGCTTGCATAGAAACACATCCAAGCTGCTTTTAATCATCACCAGGCACCACCAGAAGGAACGCGGCTCACCTGGCTAGCGTGCCTAGTGGCAGCCAGGATGGAACCGGATAATATCTCTTATTATATTCATAATGTCTCTCAAAACTGTGCTAAAAACCATCACCAGGCTTGTTTGAAATGCCCGTAAATATCACCTAGGAGGAAGCTAACTCCGAGGAAAATCTTGGAACATTGATGACATTTCTGGGAGCATATTCGCTCCCCTTCGGTGTCCAAATACCAGCATTTCAGATCCGCGCTAGTGTGTACTGCCCTACCACTGTAAGTGGCAGATGGCGAACCATGGATAAGATAATAGTATCATTACATCCATGGGCGAGCCTTGTGAAAACAAAATGGCGGCAGCGGCGTCAGATCACAAAATGGCGGACGACTGGAATTTCTACTAGTGTTCCACTGTTAATCGGTGTGGGATTCGCTGATAACTTCAAAGACGAAAGAAATAAAGAGCCGGAAAACATATTATTCCAACAGCGTTCCTTTTCGTTATTCCGCGCCGTGCTGGGGGAACGTTTTTACGCCCCCCTCCCTCAGGTTTTTTTCGCGAGTAGGTCTAAAAAATGGCGGCGCTGCCTGCCGCCGTTTTTGGTACACCCGTTCATACATCGTTTCCGCACATGTTGTGAACATTTCCGACCCAGGTCGTTTAAAGGTAGACTGCCACCTTTTTTCCACAAAACGGTTTTCACTAGAGCTGAGCCACCTATGTCCCAGACTGAAGTCGGTTTTCCGAAATTCGAACCCGTTTGCGAGAAATCGGAGACCAAAGTTCAGTTTGATGCCATTTTTTTTAGTCCAAGAAAACCGACATCTCTACTGTTTATCGATAACTTTGAAACATGAATTTTCTTATCTTTTGGTAAATATATGTCAAAACTTTGATTGTTTCGAGATCAGAGAAGAATTTTGGAGTGTCAAAATAAAAGTTAAACTTATATATTCAGTAGTTCATTTTTTCCAAAAAAGTGTGGGAAATGGGGTTTAACATGGGCCAGACCCATTCCAAATGAGCCATGATTTTTAAATGTTTTACGAACTTAAATGCAAAATAAATTAAACATGGCCAATTTCTTATGAAATCATATATTAGTAAATCATAAAATACCTTACTTTTTCAAATAAAATGTAATAATCTTATGACCTTGAAGTCTAGTGATGTGTAAACATTGTCGCTAGACATTAACCGATTGATAATTGTATGATAAATCGACAATTTTTTTCGCGATTCACGTGATGATACTTTGTCAGGTGAATTCTAAAATTTTGTTTTGTCCAGGGAATAAATCATAGGCCGATCTGAGAAAACTTTTTGAAGGTGGCAGTCTTCCTTTAAGGTCAGGTCACCAACTCACGTCAAGAAACTTTAATTCAGAAAAAAATGAAAGGCTTCCTATAGCTACACCGACTGAACGATCACTTTGAAACTTCCAGCGATTGATATTAGTAACAGTATGCATAAAATGTGTATCTCGGATTTCTCTTTATATCTGTGACCTAAGTTCAGGTCAATTTTGCGACCTCTCCATTACCTATACGGCAATGCAAGAAAATTGAAATGCGCCTCTTTTGGACGAATGTCGTTCAAAACGCTATCAAACATCGGTTCATGGCCCAGTCGCTACGTGGCCCAGGAGCCGAGTTAGACGGGGGGGGGGGGGAGGGGCGTGAAAACGACCCCTCCCCGTCCCCCTTCCCCCATCGCTCGGCGGAAAGTACAGGCCACCAGCACGGTGCTGCATATAGTTAGAAGAAATGGAAAGTTAAACGTTTGCCCTTTGAGACGAATTCACGCTATTGGATTATTCACTGAATGTTCATGCTTTTTTAATCAAGTATGTACCTGCGAACATTTATCTAAAGGATGCGTGTGTTTTTTGGTTACGTGCATTTACATATTGCTGCTTTAGCCATTTTTGGAACTTGGAACCACAGCTTGGCAAACAGGATAAAAAATAAGCGTTTTTCCTTAACCACTTTTTCTCACTTTTGCGATTTTAGTTCGTTTACTTCAGTTTCACCCAGACGTTTCTATTTCTATTTTCTACATTATTTTTCTTTGATTACATACAATTTTCCGACTGAAAATTGGCTTCGAACCATCGGCGATTTTGCTTGTGTGACTCATTAGCTCAAATAAGTTTTCAATAAAAAATGTCAATTTGAGCTGTTACGAATGTGTTTGCAAATGCAGAAGACAAAAGCTTCAGGGATACATTAGGTATCTTATGCAATGATAAGTAAAATATCCATTCTTTTTTACCATCATGCAGACGCAAAAGCGGCTTACCTAACTTATCATTTGAGTTGGCAATAACGTAAAAATCTGAGTAATCTGCTTCATAGAACAAAATATTATTGAATTAATGAATGCACCTCTGTGTAGTTTGAGTGCGGAGGTTTATGAACGGAAATACCAAAAACGACTTAAACTTACCTGCTACCTACATGAGTACACCGAGGTAGCGGCCCCTCCTCTTCATCTGAACTCTCGGTACAGAGTGACTTAAACTTACCTGCTACCTACATGAGCAGACCGAGGTAGCGGACCCTCCTCTTCATCTGAAGTCTCGCTACAGAGTGACGAAAGGCGAGGGAGAGGGGCGTGGGACGGCTGCCGATAGAGCACGGGTTTATCAGGGGAATACCTACCACCGCGCTAGAGTTAACACTCTCCCCCTCTCCCCTCCCAACTCTCTCCATACATTAACGGTAACCGCTAGGGTACACAACAGATAAGCAAGCGCCGTTTGAAACTTTACGTTATCAATTAGATAAGCGCTTTCATGCATACATTACTAGGAGGCAAATGGATACAATTTTACATCCGCATCACCAGTGTTTCCAGCGTAATTGCTGCAAGCGTTTTATTGCAGTAAATGTGACGAAAAAATGCATAATATTTTTACAGTTATTGTCCCCCCAAAAATAAACTATATAATGGGTGGCGGGGAACGGTTTTGAACATAAGGCAGCGCCTATGGCTTTGGCCTGGCTGTTGCCATAAGCCGACAAGCGAAAGTAGTGTCAGCTGTTTTAAAATCGTGCTAGAGGTGCCCCCTCTGCCAAGTATCTGAAATTGACTTCTCTGTCCTTTACTGGCCTGATATCATCCGACCTGCCGCATTCCAGGTCATTCACTTTTTCCAAATATCATCCACGGTGGAACCCCGCCGAAAAGGAATTAACCCTCGCCCATGTAGGGAGGGGGGTTGGTGCAACCCCCCCCCCTGAGGTTTTTCTTAGCTACACGCCGAACCGTTTCAGATAGCCTGCTCAAATTTTCAGTACCCTCTGGGGTATCCTTTGCGCAGCTTTTGGTATTTTTTTTTGTCAAGGTCATGTCAGGTCACGGAGTTATGACGTCATAAAGGGAACAACCTCCGGCCAGATTTACGCTAAATTGGAGATTGCTTCACATTGGTATAAATGCCGACTGACCTGACACACTGATGGATTGTTTTAGAATCACAACTGGCTGATTTGACATTGGCACAATGTTCGTTGACATTTTGAAGGTTACTAAAGGTCAAGGTAAGGTAAGTGACCTCGGTTGACCTGTAATGACTTCTTGCACTTGTATGCCTTTTCGTAGTAGGGATGCCCTGAATTCGAATTTGCTATCCATTTCAGGCATCGTCGGTTGTTTCTTGTAGTTCATTTTGGGTCAGGGTCAGGTCAGTGACGCCACACGCCTGACGTGACCCAATGCACAAATGACCTTGTAGACTTCCGATGCTCCCAACGCATCATTTTTAGAGTTATGAAATCGAAATACACACCACACGATAGAGAATTGATCAAGGATCGCGATAGTGAAGGTTTCAAGTCGATATCTCTCACCATTTTGCCGCAATCGGCGCGGAAATATGAAAAAGTTAGATTTTTCCGAAAATTTGACCTTTGACCGGTCATAAGTAGGTCAAATGTTGACCTAGGACCACAAAATATACCACCAATCGCGAGATCTCGTTGAGAGCAATCCGTTGGTCTTTTCCGTTAAGCTCTACGACGCTCCGTTTTCAAACGCCAGGGGGGGTCGCACCAACCCTGCATGGGCGAAGGTGGTAAAACACCGTTTACGGGCGAGGGTTAACCTGCGTTGTGCTGTGGGGAAAGGGGCGTTTTCACGCCCCCCCCCCCCCAGGTTTTTCTCGTGGCCGTTTTAAGCTCACCTGTTTTACATTTTTCGCACATGTTGTGAAAATTTCAGACCCGGGTCGTTCAAGGTCAGGTCACCAGGTCACGTCAAGTGACCTTACCTCAGAAAAAGGTCAAAGGCTCGCTATAGCTACACCGATTGAACGATCATGTTGAAACCTCCAGCGATTGATAAGAGTAATAATATGTATAAAATGTTCATCTTGGATTATTGAAATCTATGACCTAAGGTCAGGTCAATTTTGCGACCTCTCCCATGTCAAATAAACACCATGCAGCACTCCTTCTGGTTCAGTAACCTGCAACGGCGTCGCGATCAAGTGTGAATATTGCAGTCAATATTTGAACAAACGGTGGTCAGGCTTCAGAAGAGAGGAATCTGACCGGTCCCACCGCTTCCAATAAATAACTTAAACGTGGGGAGAGAGGGCAGGAATCGCGTGACTTCTGATAAACTTAAAGCGTTTAGATGGAGATGCTATAGAAAGGCGTCACGTGGATCCATCGGTCTCTGATAGTACCTATCATGCTATCCTCTTAGGGCACTAACTTTGTGTCTGAGAGCTCAAACCAGAGTAAATCGCTCTCAGGTTTTGCCAGTTGGATTCTGGGTAGCGCGGAGTCTGAGACTTCACTTTTGCCGCTGGTTTGGCCACTGTGCGTATGTACAATGCACACATGTGTAATGAAGTGAAAGGCACACAGCTGTTATCAAACATTGAGACATTTCTTGACACAATAATAATAATGCCATATATTTCGCAGCAACAAAGGTAAATGCATTTTTGTGAAGTTGAAGACACGGAATGGAAAACCACCAAGTCGACTTGCAATGAATAAACACTTGATTCAGTCAGCAAGGTGCCCCTTGGATAAGTTAACCCGCGCCGTGCTGGTGGCCTGAACTTTCCGCCGAGTGCTGGGGGGGGGGGGGCGTTTTCACGCCCCCCCGTCTAACTCGGCTCCTGGGCCACGTAGCGACACGCGGTAAGCGGCAATCGAAAGAGCGTCAAAAATAAGGACGAAAACACTTCGGTCATTTTTTGGGTCAGGTCAAAGGTCAGGTCACCAGAGGTCACCAAAGGTAAAATGTTGACTATTTCAACATTTTGGAAACTGCCAACGGCTATCTCGGGAACCGATAGAGCTACAGCGCCGCGGAAAAGCGCATTCGATAGCCCTTTTACAGACCTTTCTGAGTAATGTTCTCAGATTTGACCTCAGGTCAACGGTTTAGCCTCCAGAGGGCAAAAACTCCAAAAATAGCCGTTTTTACGAAAAACGTTTTTTCGTCAATAACTTTTGACTCATAAGCGCCATGACATTACTTTTGCCAGCATCGTGTTCCTCTCGTCGAGACGCGTCGAATGAACTATTTGTTGACCTTGAAAGGTCATTTTGAAAATTTGACCTCAGGTCAAGGTCATGACCTGACCGAAAAGGGTCATGTTGCATATCAGTCGATCCGTATCGTCGAGCTGAACACATCTGACGTGTTTTCACCGCTCTAGCACGTCTCTATCAAAAGTTATAGCCAAAAAACTGCTGGCGACCGTTCATGACCTGAGATGACCTCAGGGGCACACAGAGGGGTCACAGGTGCATTTTTCCTATTCAGTGTGTCATGTTTACCTATGAACCGATGTTTGAGAGCGTTTTGAACGATATTCGTCCAAAAGAGGCGCATTTCAATTTTCTCCCATTGACTTATAATGGAGAGGTCGCAAAATTGACCTGACCTTAGGTCACAGATATCAAAAATCCGAGATATACATTTTATACATACTGTTACTCATATCAATCGCTGAAAGTTTCAAAGTGATCGTTCAGTCGGTGTAGCTATAGCGAACCTTTGAACTTTTTCTGAGGTAAGGTCACTTGACGTGACCTGGTGACCTGACCTTGAACGGCCTAGGTCTGAAATTTTCACAACATGTGCGGAAATGATGTAGGAACACGTGTACCAAAAACGGCGGCGCTGCGCGCCGCCGTTTTTGAGATATTTGCGAAAAACCTGAGGGGGGGGGGGCGTAAAAACGCCCCCCCCCCCCCAGCACGGCGCGGGTTAACACACAAAAAATTCGTGCAACTTATCATCAAGCCAACTGCCCAACGAAGTTGAACGATAACAACTTCAATGCGAATTGAGAATCAATCCGAGAATTACATATTTTAACAAAAATCGAGCCCCGTTCAGTTTACCAGCGCCATAACCAGCTGATCAATGGCGTCATCACATTGCCGACCAGTAACATCATCACACTGTCGACCACTGACCAGTGACGTCATCACACTGCCGGCCAATGTCGGACAGCGTCGACCAATGACGTCAGATATTGGATCCTGTGACGTCATTTCAGTGTTGTGTGGCTCTATTTTGCCTTCCTCAGGTCAGAGATGAGAACTCCCTTATGTCCAACGTCGTCAGCGGACGGACTGGTGTAGAGGATGTACATCCTGAAACAAAACAGCACATCATCAGACACTTGTTCCTCACTGTAATCGTCTCTTTGAACACAGCACGAGAATTACCGGCTGAATTACTGAACATTGATTTCACACAGACGATCAGCTTCAATCAAAATTATTTGTACCTGGCTCCTATTTCCCAGACTTGCAGCTCGTATTTGCAAATATTTACAACTCCATAGGGATAGACGACTGGTCAGGAATTGTAATTGACCTAATTAATGAATCGCACTGCGTTTAACAAACCGGTATACCTATTATCGGTGTTCAAAATTTATTTTGAAATCATTATTCCTATCACCAAAACTATGTGCGCTCACCAATTTCCTCGGTAATTCAGGTAGCAATTCTCGTGCTGCGTTCAAAAAGATGTTAACAGTGAGAGTCTAACTTAGAAAAAAAAACCAAACTTTACCAAGGAAATGACATGTATGTGTAATGGCGTGTGTCATATCATGTCATGTTTTGTCATGAAGGTATGTGAAATGTCATATGTCATGCCATTCATTTTAGTAATCCGGTTTACAATCCATGTTCCTTCTAAGTAGTCGTTTTAGGTGCATGGCTCCACCCATTATTGAGCATGCTACCTCCTGGAGCTTTCCACATGAACACTAACGACAGACGAATAAAGTCATAAGAAGTAAAACCACTCTTGTAACATTGATCGAATGGTTTGCATAGAGTAGAGTTCACTCATTTCGCACATACGCAAGCAATTGCCCACACAACCAACGCATTCGTTTGTTTGAACGAGCCAAATGAAGTTAGTCGAGTGGGTGAGTTGCGCGTCCAGCTATGTGGACCGGTGTTAAACATTTGACTCGAAATGACCACGCTCCACTAGAGTTTTCATCAACTTTCCGATCGGACGAAGAAGGTAACGACCTATTCGATAAACTTTGTTTAGCGTGGGCTGTGGCTTGGGGGGGGGGGGGAGGGGGACGTTACGTTACACACACCGTTCATAACAGAGGGTTAACTAAAACGTGAAAAGAGAAGACTACGCTTTATCTGGCTAGGGCTAACCTTGCTGTACTTTTGCAGCTATCTTGCAGCTATTTTTGCAGCCAGGTCAATCACAACGAACACAAACACAAAAACACTAAGATATAAGCATACACATATGACAACCCAACTTCCGTCGTCCTTTTCAAAGCCTACTTGGTTCTAAAATAAATAAAAACTTCGCCCCGGCTGGATTCGAACCCAGGCCTCACCTGTTCCCCGGTATTCCGAGATGCTCCTTCATGAAGTTGAAGAGTTTCTCTGTGTGTTTGCGGTTGGCCTCTTCATCGATGTTGTTGACAGATGTCAGCCGACAAACAGCGCAGGGTTCTGACGTGCCTCCCCACATCATGAGAGGGTTGGGCCGGAAAACGACCGGGAACCACTGATGGAAGAGAGAGAGAGAGAGAGAGAGAGAGAGAGAGAGAGAGAGAGAGGGAGGGAGAGAGAGAGAGAGAGAGAGAGAGAGAGAGAGAGAGAGAGAGAGAGAGAGAGAGAGAGAGAGAGAGAGAGAGAGAGAGAGAGAGAGAGAGAGAGAGAGAGAGAGAGAGAGAGAGAGAGAGAGAGAGAGAGAGAGAGAGAGAGAGAGAGAGAGAGAGAGAGAGAGAGAGAGAGAGAGAGAGAGAGAGAGAGAGAGAGAGAGAGAGAGATATGATGTTAGCTGATGGTAGGTGCCAGGTGGTGTAAGATGATGGTAAACGATGTTTGATGATGTTAGATGTTAGACTATGTTTTAAAATGTTAAATGACGTCAGTTGATGTCATACGACGATAGCTGGTGTCAGGTGATGTTAGATGATGTCAGATGATGTTAGCTGATATCAGATGATATTAGCTGATCTGATGTCAGATGATAGGTATTGGATGATGTGAGGACGTAGCAATTAACATTATGAAGACGTAATATCATCATTCATCATCTCCTATAACATCACATGACTGATTCAGTTTACAATATCGTACCTACCTTCAACTCGGTAGCTGAAGGAGAACCCCGTGATTGGCTGACTCCTCGTGACGTCACGCTTGTCAGTCTTCCATACTGATACGTTACGCACTCAGAGCAGCACATGGATGAAATTTGGTAACACTTGAACATCACTCGTCAAGAAATTGGCAGTTCCCAACAACCGTTTGAAGCATTTCCGCGATAACCTGCACATCTAAATCGGCTTTTACTTCGTTACGCAAGAGAGCGATGTGAACTGTCACTTACCTCTAAGCCAAGTCCCAGCATCTCGCTCAGGAGTTTCGTAAGATTCTGTACAACCTCTGGAGTGATCTTCTCTTGAGGCACATTCGTGTCAATTTCTAGAACTGGCATGGTTGAAGACCTTCAGCTAGGGCACGTGATCCTGTCAGAATTCTGTCAGCGAACTACACTGAACAACGTGGATGCTGCCTGAAACCAACGAGAGGTTGTCCAGATGTCGCTAGTTGTCGTTCTCACACCTCGCGTTACTATCGGTTCGCCGCGGCATGGTGTAAACTATGGCTTTGGGGCGGTGCCGTAGGCCCAAAGCCGTAGCCTGTGGTGTTTATTTTTGGTGAGGTGCCTATCCACGCTCCGACAAGCGATGAAAGCCGGCGCCGGAGGCCGAGCGAGGGGGATCGACCCTCACTCGTCACGTAGGGGGGAGGGAGGGGGAGGGACCGGGGAGGCATATACGCAAACGTTTATGTTATATGTTGTAACTTCGTTCAGTCAAAATAACATTGTGTCGTGTGGTTCCCTAGATCGTAACACGAACGTTGGAAATAATTGCAAAGGCTTGGAATGGTTAGATGGAAATGATGTTTTTTAGTCGTTTTATCACAGAGACATCATTCAAACAAACACTGGTGCCTGTTTCGAGCCTGTACGTCTATCTATTTACCTACGACAGAGAGATCATTTGAAGTTCATACGTATCGGCAGCCTGTTTCGAGACTAGATATTTATGTCGATTCACTACAGAGACGCACTTCAAACGCACTTGTCTGTTTTGAGACTGTATTTCGGTCAACTGACTTCACAGGCGCTGTACTTAATCACTTTACCATGCGACAAAGTTACGAGATCGAATAAACTAGCGCTAATCAGTCGACAGGGGAGGCTATTCCATTTCAGGAATCAGGCGCGGTTGATGGACGGGTTTTACAAGTGTAAGCCAGTGGAAAATAGCACGCGCCTGCAGGAGCGCAAAAAATGCACGTGTGCTGTTGGCATAGTGCGCGTGCAATGCATAATTAGTGCACGTGTGAGTGAAATATACCAACGTCAACATTCCAGGAAAGAAGTTTTACTTGAAATTCTACCTGCCAATGAGTATTTAAGTAATTTAGACTTTTTGTTAATGATGCTACGTGCGTGCTTTTTATACCGCTCTATTAACAGCAAGCAAGTGTGCTATTTAAGTGTAACGGATCTGCCACCTTTTTGGGATGTGCTGGTAGGTACATCACATACCTGTGTAGAATTGCTGCGTCTTTGTGTGTGTTTAGCACCATCAGCAATAATGCACAGCTTAATTGTTTTCTAGCTTACACAGTCATTCATTTTGAGTATTTCACCACGGGACGACATAAGTGGACACGGTCTCATCTTTATTATGCAGCAACAATATTCTACCTCTCAAGCTAACTTCTAAGCGTACAGGCGCAAACCATTTGAGACTGAATCCGGTTATGAGCTATTGTGTCATACAGGTCTTCTGAAAGCTCAACTAAACATTTTATTGTTTTTATCACTATCGTAAGACTAACAACTTGAAGTCATATTGGCTATATGACCTAAATGTAGCATCGGCTTAAACCAATTCTCTGCCAAAGCAATTAAAAGCAGAGTGTACTTATACCTCAGCCGTCAATGAGTTTTTCTTGTGACTGACGCATGGCAATGCCTCATAAACAATAAACAATAAAACTGTATCAATATATGAGATAGGTAATTACTTCTCAATCACTCTAGTCATTAACTAATACAAAACTACTAAATAGCTCAATGTCTATTTGGATTTAAGCGCATGATCTCGGTTTAACCTTCGCCCTGGTGGGGGGGGGGCCATTTTGGCCCCCCCCTGTGGTTTTTCAGCGATAACTCAGAAACCACTTGAGTTAGCGCCCTGAAACTTTGTATAGCTGTTTATTCAACATTTTTACATCATGTCCTTTTTTTGGGGGTTCGGGTCAGGTCAGGTCAGGTCACAAGGTCACCAAAACTGACACCACCTCTAAAAAAGTTCAAAGCTCTCTCAAAGGCACAGCTTTTATCCGATCGATGTAAAATTTACAGTACTTGAAGATGTCACCCAGCTCTACAAAATGGCTATCTCGGATTTTTTATAAATGTGACCTAAGGTCAGGTCAGGTCATCGCTGCTCCCCATTATAAGTCAATGGGAGAATCGAAAAGTAGTTGTTTTTCAGCTAAATCGGGCGTGATTGTTCCTATATTTCGTTATTGAAGTGTCTTGGGTCAGCAAATCACAGCCCATGTGAAACCATTTGCTTGTGACCTCGCTGAGGTCACGCTAGGTCATCTCCCTGGTCACCAGAGGTCACCAGCGGTTTTTCTGCACTTACTTGTTATTGAATAGAGATAGAGACTCCGTTCGACGTTTATCGTGTTTGTCTCGTCAATGCGGATCGAATGATATGCAGCATGACCTATTTCGGTAAGGTCATGACCTTGACCTGAGGTCAAATTTTCAAAATGACCTTTCGAGGTCAAACTATATATCATTCGACGCGTCTCGACGAGCCAAGCACGATGGTGCATGAATCGTTTCTCTATTTTCTCGTGAATGCATGCTATAGTTAAAAACATTTTCAACGAAATTTGCCAAGTTGACCTTGCATGACCTCTGTAGGCCAAACCGTTGAGCTGAGGTCAAATCTGACGAACCTTGGCGAAAGAGCTTGAAAAGAGCTATCGATTGCTTTTTTCCGCGGCTCTCTAGCTCTTCTAGTTTCCGAGCTACAGCGGAATATGTCCGGCAACACCGAAAACACTGAAATTTGACCTATGATGACCTCTAGCGACCTCAATATTGACCTTAGCGAAAAAATGACCGAAATACTTTCGAACGTACTTGTTATGGGCTTTCGTTTGCTTTTTTCCGCGTCTTCCTAGCCCTCTTCGTTTTCGAGTTAGACGGGGGGGGGTCATTTTGGCCCCCCCCACCAGGGCGAAGGTGGCTCAGACCCACACCAGGGCGCGGGTTAATATTTCCCAGGCTCTGGTGTATTGAGATACAGTGGAGAAATAATAAGAAAGAAAAGACAGAGAGGAAAAATAATTAAATCGGGTAAACATTTGCATCGTATTTACATCCTACTATTAGTGCCACCTCCGCAACAGTGACAAAGCACAAGCCTAAAGGCAAATTTGTCTATTTCATAACCCTAAAGCTTATTTAGCTACGCATTCATACCTTGAGATCATCAATAAGCGTTCGAAGCTGGAGATCATTTATAAGAAAAAAGCACCATATCGGAAGTTGATCAGATATGATGTAAGGAAGTTGCTAAATTGAAGATATATGGCTTAGGTACAGAAATGTTATATTCGATTTCTGTGAATAATTAAATATCTGGTATACTACTAACCGACTTAGGCGGTAAACAAAATACAAGGAAGGGTAATATGCCAGAAAGAAATTAAGAACGGGAGAGACAATGGGAGCTGGGGAGGAAGGGTGAGAGAGAGAGAGAGAGAGAGAGAGAGAGAGAGAGAGAGAGAGAGAGAGAGAGAGAGAGAGAGAGGGGGAGAGAGAGAGAGAGAGAGAGAGAGGGACAGAGAGGGAGAGAGACAGGGCACGTAGGCTGAGTATTTGACTATTCATTCACATCCTAGCAAAACTTTCACACACTCTCTGAATATCCCATAAAGATATCATGCACTATATCTGCTACTCAGTTCCATGCTGACCACTCGCGTCTAAATCAAACTCGCTACATTTTCTCATTGCTTATTGTGGGCCCATTTTGAAGTGTTGCCTCGAAGGCATCTGCTACCATTTCTCGCTCCCAATTTTTCTTCTTAGATCGACTGTGGCTAAAGGGCTCTAGAATCTCTAGGCTAACAACAAAGCACATAAGTTTTTAGTAAGATAATGTTGCTTATGGAAACATTAAATAGAAAGACGAAAGTGAGGCTGATCTTTAAAACGTCCCGCTAACAAATAACGAAAAAATTGTTCTTGCCTCGTTTCCTTACAACATGTACCAGAAAACTAGGGATACACGAATTAAAAGAAGTGTGCCTGATTGCAGCCTACTATCCCTGCGCGGATAGAATGTAATTAAGGCAGAAATCACTAAAGAAAACTGATAGGAAGTAATTGCAAATCGAAGACAATATGCCGGAATATCATCCTAACTTCAAACAGCAACAGTTTGCACACTATTGTCCGTGTCACCTAGCAGTCTGGCTTTAATCACCAAATCTTGAGTATTTTCGAGCCTTTTTAAAACAATTAACGTCTCAATCACGCCACAATCTATCAACTATTGCACTTATCATCCCATGCACTCATGGCCCAAACAGCGTCTATAGATGGCGCTCGTGTTCATGAGCAGTCTCTATAGATGGCGCCGGTGTGCCATTATGCTCGCATATGCAGTAGCCAGCTGATGGCGGCGGTGACGAGGAGCAGCAGAGACATCTTGTGGTCGTTGGCGGAATTACAGAAGTCGTCGTAGCAGGAACAGTAGTACAGCATCACCTGAAGCAGGATTGGGGCAAAGTGTTAAACAGTTGAACACATGTGGGTGTAAGCGAGCTTGACATGCATTATCCTGCACTAATATAGGTAGCAAATAAAAAATGGGTCGACATTAAAACAAGCTATTGCTTTATTAAATAGTATTGCGCATTCGCAGATAAAATGTGGCTAAAGCCTTCAAAGAACTTATATAAATCTGTACCACATAGGATATGCATTATGGGTAGCTACCTATTAAAATATGTATCCATCTACCTTTAGTCCTTTACATGTTTCTTTCTATAACTCTAACATCATTTGCTCATGTCTGTCAGTGCCAATGTTGCCTTTCTCTCCGTCCCGTTTTCGTTTCCATCTCTCGCCCTTTCTTTATCTTCCACCTCATCGTTCCTGTCTTAATTTGCACAGTCTCTATTTTTACCTTTGTCTCTATTTCCCCACTATCCCCACACGTGTTTATTTTGTTTGGCTTTAGTCTCTGACTCTTTATTTATCTCTTTCCCTCCTCGTCTGTAGGCAGCTCTTACCTCATAAGTTCCGGCTTTACGCATACAGTCTCTGCCGGCCATGACTTCTTTATCGTCCACCCAACCGCACGAGCGGACGATCCTCTGGTGCCCACGAACTGTGAATAACAATTACAAAATAACATTTTAGATTATGGAGAGGTGCCTTGTATTAAGCTTAAGGCTTTTGCACCAATCCTATTTGTATGTTTTGTGCACCCTTACTTTGTCTGGTTTGTTAAAATAACTAAGTTAATTGAGTTGAGTTGAGCATTCCACAACAACAACACCCAACAGGAAAGCAAAACTGAAAAGTATAAACCAGTGTTCATCGGGGCATGAAAATAATAATAACATAGTAATTATTCAGACAAATACCCAACAGGATAGGAGGAGCGAACCATTCTCCTTTCACACATGGACTAAAATTAATAAAAACACAATAACAGTCGATAGCAATAACATGATAAGCGGATTGAGCAATCGTTTGCTGGCGACGGATTGAAAATAACAAAAAAAAGTAGTCTAGCAGAAAAAAGCAGAAAAATGACGTTTTCTCTCCCTCTTTCTCTCTCTCTCTCTCTCTCTCTCTCTCTCTCTCTCTCTCTCTCTCTCTCTCTCTCTCTCTCCTCTCTCTCTCTCTCTCTCTCTCTCTCTCTCTCTCTCTCTCTCTCTCTCTCTCTCTTTCTTCCACACACTCATACTTCAAAAAACTAGACTCAATCACACAAATAACGAGAAACAAAAATACCCTAACTATATACCACAGAAACTTCCACTTACTATCCCAAATCCAGGAGCGTAACAACGCTAAAAAATTGTGCTGGCAAATTTATAAGGGGAACCATCCCTCAAGGGGGCGCCATCGCCCGGGGGGGGGGGGCGCTGTTACCTAAGCGAATGGAGGGAGCAAGAGGGCCGCTTACCTGTGAAAGAGGGGCGCCTATGAAGCTTTAACCCGCGCCCCAGTGGCGGTCTCGGCCAACTTCGCCCTAGTGAGGGGGGGCATATGTTACCACCCACCTCTAACTCAAAAACTAAGAGGGCTAGAAAGACGCGGTAAAAAGCAGTCGATAGCTCTCAATACGTACGTTTGAAAGTATTTAGGTCATTTTTCACCTTAGAGCAATATTGGGGTCACCAGAGGTCATCAAAGGTCAAAATTTGCCAATTGTCATTATATTTTTCAGAAAACATGCCGCTATCTCAGGAACTATGGTAGCTAGAAAAACGCATGGAAAAGCAATCGATAGCTTTTGAACTCTTCTTTTGAAAAGGCCATTATCAATATTGTCCTCAGGTTAACGGTTTAGCCTCCAGAGGGCAAAAACTCCAAAAATAGCTGTTTTTACGAAAAGTGTTTTTCGACAATAACTTTCGACTACAAAAAGCCACTATATTTCTATTGCCAGAATCGTGTTCCCCTCACCGAGACGCGTCGAATGAACTATAATTTGACCTTGAAAGGTCAACTTAAAAATTTGACCTCAGGTCAAGGTCATGACCTGACCGGAAAAGGTCATGTTGCATATCAGTCGATGCGTCTCAACAAGACAAACACAATGAAACCATCCCCAGCGTTCTATCTCTTTCCAATCGCGAGTTATTGGCAAAAAACTGTTTGTAGCCTCAAATGACCTCGGATGACCTTTCTAGAGGCTATCAGCAAAAATGACACCTTGGTCATCACGAGTGGACTAAATCATTGTGATTCTGAAATATTTGGACTGTTCCTATGCGTACACACGGATCTAGAGGCATTTTCATTTTTCTCCATTGACTTGTAATGGAAAGGTCATGCCACTGACCTGACCTTAGGTCACGGATATAAAAAATCCGAGATATACAAATTGTAGGCTCCCATAACAGCATGCAATCCACCAAGTTTAAAACCTTTCTGACAAACACTGCAGGCTGGACATGATTGCAAACTTTTTTTAAGGCTTGGTCAGTTAACTTGACCTGGTGACCTGACCTGACATGACCTGGGGTCAAAAATTTCACACATTGTCCAAAATTGATGTACCAAAAGCTACCCCAAGCGGCGCGGCGCTACGCGCCGCGGTTTTTTATTCACACGCGAAAAACGCGACAGGGTGGTAACATATGCCCCCCCCCACTGGGGCGAAGGTTAAGGGGCGCTTCCATGCAATAAATGGGCCACATTAGTAGCGAGAGAGTCGTTTGTGTACCGTTTCTCAGAGGTGGTGTGCCGTTTGCGGCAAATATAGGTATAGTAGGCACAAGAGGACAGAGAGAGAGAGAGAGAGAGAGAGAGAGAGAGAGAGAGAGAGAGAGAGAGAGAGAGAGAGAGAGAGAGAGAGAGAGAGAGAGAGAGAGAGAGAGAGAGAGAGAGAGAGAGAGAGAGAGAGAGAGAGGGAGGGAGGGAGGGAGAGAGAGGGAGAGAGAGAGAGAGAGAGAGAGAGAGAGGGCTTCCATAAAAATGGTGCGGACTTTCCGCACTTTCCGCTTAAGTGGTTACGCCTCTACTTGAGTTACGTTGGGGTGATTTGGGCCGAATCGCCCCACGTTTCAGGACACTCACTATGATGCACGATCTTGCGACAGACAGTGCTGTTCATGTTGTCTAGATGAGGTCCCTTCAGTTTGAGATCACAATCCACCATTCCTACGGCTGTGCGCGAAAACTTGTCACCGCAGGAACGATCGTATCGAGAGTTGCACTCGTAACATTGGATCGCCAGACCTGGGGAAAAGAGAGAAAAAAATCGTTAGAGACGTATTTGAAAAAGGAAGAACATCCGCGTTTTTATTTAATTGGTCGGGGAGGAAGTTGCATTTGTAATAGTGGATCGCCAGGCCTGGGGAAAGAGAGAAAAAATCGTTAGAGACGTACATGAAAAGGTATGAACATCCACGTATGTGTTTCATTGGTCGTGGCGGGAGTTCCCATTCGTAATAGTGGATTGCCACATCTGAGAAATATCAGCAAAATATTCTGTTCTAAGAAGAGTAAATACCCTCTGGGATAACCTGGTATTGACCAAGCTATTAGTATTTAGCGCCGTAAAATAAAACTTATTCGTACATACATAGCCTCCAGGGGTACCTAACCTATACCTAACTCTTTCTTGCAGATTAACTTTAGAGCTTTTCTTCCGACGGCAGCAGTGTCTACGCCAATAATCCCTCCCCGATATTCTATAGCGATTCAATATGGACTCGTCCAAAATCGACCCGAGAAGGACATTAGCTATATGGTGCTGAATATGACAGCTGATGATAGTTGCCAGCCCGAGGGGAGGGAACTTTCCCTGACACTTTTGGCCTTGTGCCAGGCGGGCGTTATGATACCCACTGCTGGGTGCTTTGTTTATCATTAATGTTTCTATTCTATAGATCTTTCATGAGAACTAACTATTAGATACTTCTTTCTAGTGTTTAGTACCTACGTATTATGTATTGAAGCATTTCTGTGGTGTGAAATGTGGATAAATTTGAGGAATGTCACCTCACTTATCCAACGATTCAACTCCCTCCATATCACACACACGTAGGTATTACGCTTGCTTATCATAAAAGTCGTTAACGTCTCTCATTTAAAATCATCTTAAAATCATCAACGTCACTCATTTTCCTCTATAACCTCCCCCTGTCATACACCCTTCCCATTTCGACCAAGTGCCACGCCCTGACCTCACACCTCACCCGTTCACGGTTCACCCCTCACTCCTCACCTTAATGCACACCTTGACCCTAACCGTCGCCCGACACCCACTTTCTCCTGCATCCCCTCTAGAGATGTCAATCGGATACCAACTTTTTGGTATACCGATACCAAACCGATACCAACTTGGTATGTGGCACTTCAATCCTAATGCGTTTGGTATCTTGTTGGTATTAGCCGTTTTCACGACGGGCTAACCGGCGAGTGCACCTAATTTGACCAAATCTGCACCTAATCTCTTTACAGCAAATATCTGTATTTTATGAATCTATTTCAGTGTTTTTATCGATGTTACTCTCTGATAATATGACAAAGCAGGCATATAAGCAATTAGTGCAACCCTAGCTGATAGCTAGTAAGAGACACACTGAACCTGATTTGACCAAATCTGCACCTGATCTGCACCAAATGTGCACCAGATGTGTACCAGATGGCCGTCGTGAAAACGGCTATTATGAACCCTCACTATTGCATAAGACGCTGAGAACTTGGTAAAAAGTTGATATTACCCTTGTGTTCCCATGTTGGTTCGGTTTCGGTATTTCCTTACGGTTTTGGTTGGTATTTGGTTTGGCATCGGTATTCCGATTTTCTGTAATTGACATCACTAATCCCCTCATTGCCCCTACAGATTTTGCTCCTTCACAGTCCTTCATACACTCCTTGTACGGAGACTAAGGAGTCCCTGAGTCCCTCATAACCCCGAGTCCCTTTCTCCTTCAACAGTCCCACATACCCCTGACCCCCCTCACCCACTGACAGCCCTCCCCCTCACCCCTCCCCAGGGCGGCTCCCTTTGAAGCCAGTGTCGCCCCGTTTCGTGTCTTCCTCGAATATCCGCAACGGGATCGATCAAGCTATGTGGCCAACAGCGGACTGGCCAACGGATTTCTATTTGATAGCCACGACCCCGCAGTCAGCTGACCTTTGGGCCGACGCTAGTAGTCAGCTGATGGGCAACGAAACAGGGACCTAGCGGGGTAAGTTTTCATAAAGACTTGTTAGAAATAATTCATAAAGCTAGGTGTGCGAATGTAGTGAAAAGTCGCTCAAAAACTGGCTTTGCATTTGAGGTGTGAGTGAATGTTTTTTTTATTCACAGTTATATTCAATATTTATTTTATTTTCAATAATTATAAACACAGAGACATTTGCTCAGGAACAGAAAAAAAAAACGTAAGCCGAAAAACCCTGATGCCAGTGATAGTTCGTTCCGGACCCAAACGAAGCCTTCACTAACTGAGCACCCGAATCTTCGACCTGAGGGGAGACTGTCCCGTTTTCTGCTTATACCTAACCCTACCATTATGATGTCATTAGCAGCCGTTAGGGATGAACGCCTGAAGCTATATGCAGTACCGCGAGGCAATCTATATCTGATCCTACCGTTAGGCGCCGCTAGGGGTAGACGCCTGGGGTTATACTGTACCGCAAGACACCTAACTCTTAGTTCTACCGCTAGGTGCCGCTAGTAGTCGGCGCCTGCAGTTATGCTGTACCGCAAGACACCCTACTTATACTTTTACCGCTAGGTGCCACTAGTAGTCGGCGCCTGGAGTTATACTGTTCCGCAAGGCACACTACTTTTAATTCTACCGCTAGGCGCCGCTAGTAGTTAGCGCCTGGAATTATACTGTACCGCAAGACGCACTATACCATTCCGCATTAAATGGCGCACTTTGATAGCGTGCGCGTGCCTGAAAGCATGCTTTATCGGATAAATAAAAACCTGTCGGCCAATCACTAAATGACTTATGATACAGTTCAGAGCTCAATTTGTTGTTCTTTAGCAGCAAATGGGCACCATGGAGTGTCAAGGGGAATTAGAATCATCTGCACAGTAAGCATATTTTATGGGTTAGCTTGCATAATTAAGCTGTTAGCTAGGCTAATTGAAAAATGACTTATGTTTCATCCATAAAAAATATTCGGATAGAACAACCAAACGAACTAAGGAGCACAGACCCCCGATTGCCTATGCGTTAAGTACGAGGCAAAAAATATATATATATAGCGGCTTTTGAAAACGTAGGAAGATGCTTTCCCGTCTATCACTTTTTTCAAGCCACATCAACCACTAGTGAGTTTGGAAACGACAAACATGTCCAACTTCTTCGATTTATCGACAATATTTGTGCTGAGCTTGTTAGAGAGCTAAAGGGCGCGCAAACAAGGCTTGTTTTGGCACCAGATTTATGATCATTTAAGCCTTCTATTGGAAAGAAAGCACCGCTTATTTGGTAGGTACTGAAGGTAAATAAATAGGAAGTTACATAAATAGATGCACGTCTTTCTTCACATTGCATGACTATAAGATTTAGCTAATAACCAGCGCTGTCCACCAAACACAAAGAAATGGCCTTGACCCGGCCGCAGCAGCCCCTCGTGACCTCACAAGCTAGCAGTGGTTAGGGGAGGGGACGGGGGGGGTGCGGGGGAGGGGGACGCTGGTATGTGGTGGGCTCCGCCCCCCTGGCCTGGGGCGGTGCCTCGTTGCGACCACAGGCAATCGGTTGGATTGTTCGTATATTGTTGGCGAAAGTAAGATTTTGATTTGATTTTAGTTAATCAGAGGGATAGACACGTTCAAGGGCATATTGTAGGGTACATTTGTGTGAGTAACTTCGATGCTATGCTTTGATTAGGGTCACGTAGAATGCGTGGAACTACCAAAAGACGATAGAGGCGCTGGTGTCATACCAGCAACTAGCCTCAACTTCTTTATTTAGCTACAAAATGACATTGACATACCAATTGACTTCACTGAGCAGAAACAAAAATCGTCAGAAATCGAGAAAGCAAACGTCTATTGTTAGCGGTATTGCCGCAGTTCAGGTCAACATCAATCGGTATAAAGATGAAAGTATGCGACCTAAGCGAGAACCTTGAAGAAGGGCAGATTCAATCGAATGAAAGTAAGCAGCCTTATAGTTTCAAGTTTTTGGAGCGCAATAAGAATGCCTTGCTTCACTTACCAAAAGGGAACACACGTTTTTATCAATTGCTATACCCACCTATCATCACGTGCGTTTTAGCGACGCTAAATGGAGGTAAAAACATCGATAACATTACACAATATCTCGCGTAAAACGATCTACCACTCACCTCCTGTCACACAGAAAAACAGCAGCAGTAGCGTTTCACACAGAAAATTCATGGCGACACAAAAGTCTTGGCAGTGTTGGAGGAGGCGTTTGAAGCAGAGAGGACCCACGGCTACTGGAAGCAGTTCCTCACTCTGCCGCCAGAGGCGCTGCTAGACGAATCGATAAGCCAAGGGGACTTGCTACCGATCTATGGTGGGGCGGCAACTCCAAAGGGGAGGCTCCTGGCACCCAGCGATGGCCTTCTGGGGCGTCAGTGGGGTCAATAGGGGAAGGGGAGCCGCGGCTTATGCAATTTATTAGGAAACAGAGAAACATGATAGAAAAAGAAGAATGTACGGCCAGAATCAGAGTGCTGATATCTTGCCTCGAATGGCTTACGAATTGATGATTGAATGGCGAGTCTATTTTAGGCTCATGTTTCCCAATACATGCGACGCTTCTGGAGTTATATTTATCATAGTTGGCAATGAATGGGTCAAAGTAATCCGTCGTTCTCATTCGAAGGATTGCATCCCTCCCTCAATCTGCGTCGTGGTGGGGAACGTTCTTATGAAATTCTGATGGATTTTTATGGACACTTTTTATTTTTGCCTGTGGTCTGTGGAAGCCTATTATTTCACCTTGGTCAAATCTGAGGACACACCAGCAATAATAGGGTTTCAAAAGAGTTATCGAATACTTTCTTTTCGCGGTGTTGTTGCTCTATAAGTTAACGCTCTAGGAACAAACATGTCTAAAAAGGTCAAACTAGAAAAGGTTTGACTTTTTATCTCCTCTGGTTACCTGACTCTTACCAGCCAGCAAAATGACCGGGCTGCCATTTTTATTGTTTAATTATAATTCATGCTTTTTTACAGCGTAGTTACCGCATTTTCGCCACGCGTCCCAGGCGTGGGATGGTCACATTCCTCTCCTTTCCGCATCGATACGTTACAATCGAACAATCGCTTTGGGGTGGGTCCATTACCTAAGCTACTTACCTAACCTCAGTTCCGAACCGACGACCGCCCCACCAGGATTATTGTGAAAGAAGTTGCAACCCACAGTAACTGTCGAAACAAAGACGGCCTGGTGCAAAGGGAAAAACAAACACGTGTCCTAAAAATGATTTATGTTTGGGTAAGAAATAAATGTGAATTAATTCAAGCATGTAAGCCAGTTTCAATCATTCATTGAGCCCATTGGACAATGCATAAGTCGTTTAGCTACTGTTTTTCATGATTTCCTACAGTTTATTTTTTTCTCCAAATGCCATCTTTTGTACTTGTATCACAATTCTGCGTTTAGTCATTGTGTCAATCCACTGATAACGAATCCTGAAGAGTACTAACTAACTATGCTTCTGGGATTACACTACTTTTCACCGAGCTGAAACAGCAGAAACCATCCTCCCAATCGAACACGCACGATGACTGTAGATACCGTCCTATTTGCGGCAGCCTCTCGCATATATGCATACCAACCGGCACTGAAGGTATGCAAGTCATCATGACTGTCCATTTGTTACCACCCACTCGGGGCTTGGTCAGTGCTCCCTGACCTTGAACAGGGGCGCAGTCAGGCATTAGAAGTCGGGAGGACGATGCATAGAGATGAGCCGATATCTTCAATGACTTGGCTTGGTGGATAGGCGTTTAATTGATCTTACGATAAAATACGAACTACTGCGATGCTTTATCTGAGTTCCGCCTACGACAAAAAGCCATGATCTAGCCGAAAAATCTACAAACATCTAAAAATCGCTCGTGAGCTGATCACTAGTTCCGCCTCTGCAGGAATGCCTCAGGGATCACTCTTCACTAGCGTAGTAGCGTTATACTGTAGCTTCAGCTGTTACCGATACAGACGGTTCTAGACAGCGAGGCGGTCGTGGCACGTCAAGGTTTATCCACGTGTATGAGCAGATACGCTGGTCAGATTTAGGACAAGATAGGACGAGGGACGAGGGTGGAGCAGTTGTGCGCGCAGAGGCTCGGCAGAGGAGGTTTGGGCGTGGAGCGACGAGTGCCAGCAGAGACCGGTAAGGATTGAGGGTTTAGGGGCGCTGTTGTGTGGTTATTGCGTGCGCGGTAGTTGCCCATGGTGTAAGCGTTCACGACGTGTGTAGGTATAGTGTGTATTGTGCAGCGAACTAGCTTGAAAATATTCTCATATGCTTGCGTGGAGGGTCATTTGTTTACCAGGACTAAGACAGATACATTCCTAATACAGTTGAGTTTGGATAATTTGAATATAATTATGAAAACAACGTAGCATGAACATACAATGCGCAGTTGATAAGCATCGTTAGTATATAATTTAAAAAATGCGTTATTCATATTTTGCTAAGTGTTTGTGACCGTGATTTTCGGTAAAGGTTAAACGTAAAGTTCCATTTGGTTACATACGATTAAAGCTCAACGGAACGCCGGTTATAAATATACAAGTAGCAGCCTTGTTTATGTTCAGGTCTAGCGTCTTGACGACTGTAGCCGAGGCTCCGGTAGCAATTATCTATCCGAGGGCATTACATCGTTAGCGTGTCCGCATCTCGTATCTAGTTGGTTTCTTGGACTAAATTGCAATTGGGGTTGACTTTACTCAGGCTACTGAATATTGTCTATAGTGGGCGGGTCACGATGTCTACACTAAGTCAAGAGTGAAATACTTGTATTGTGGTCATTGGTCTGGATCAAGCTGGTAATTAAGAGGGAAACCAAATCGCTTCGTAGTCGTACCAAGTTCGCCCTCAAACCACGTCCTCATGTAGTACTGCACTGTCGTGAGCTTATCTCTTCCTTGCGCTCGCTGGCAGTATCGTGCACTTAGGTATCTCGCTGAAAATGCAATCGCAACTAATCGACACCTAAACCCAGTGCTCTACAGAATGCACAACACACAATCACAAGCTTTCTTCATGAGACTTATCATCATCAGAGCTGACATTTTTTTCATCCACAGTTCATCGGCGAGGACAAATCAAAAGACACTACCTCAAGACATCAACTCGAATAGAAGCGACACCTCACCATGGCTGTGACCCTCAACATCGACGCTGACTTGCTGAAGACGTACGTCTTCTGGGGCACCGTTCTCATCGTCAAGGTGCTGATGATGGCTTTCCTCACCGGAAGGCAGAGGATGAAGAAGAAGGTGGGTGAGACGTAGCTACCCTTTTTTGGATTCATGAGAGAGTTTTAGCTTGTAGCTGTGTGGTCTGTGTGATGTGGAATCCACATGTGGATGGTCTGTGCGTGAAAAGAGCAGTGAATTCGTGTGAGAGTCATATCCTTTTATGTAGATATCGAACATAGGGAATGACCACATAAATAAAATAAAAACAAAACAAACAAACAAAAACGCAGCGTGGGAGGTGGTCTATTCCTACATTTAACAAATATTGTGAGCTGTAATTGTAAATAAGAATATACTTATCTCACAAACCAACTCCTAACACTGCACGTTATAGATATTTCAGACTCACCTATTTCTTCGCGATCGTTTTTTATAACGCTGATCTTTTACGTTATTTAATGATCGTCAACCATCATCAACGATGCATAAAACGCGAATTTGGTCTGATTTTACTGCACGTTTCATATATTTTAACCCACTCACCTGCTTCCCTTCCACGAGCATTTCCATCACCTAACACTCACCCCACCCCCACCTCCCCCATTTTCAGATTTTCGCTAACCCGGAAGACGCGCAGTCTCACGGCGGTAAGGTCAAGCTGGACGATCCTGATGTCGAACGAGTACGTCGTGCTCACCTTAACGACCTTGAGAACGTGGTACCCTTCCTGCTTCTCACGCCGCTGTACCTGTCCACCGGGCCTGCGCCGTGGATCGCCGCTAACCTGATCAGAGGATTTGCTGCGGCGAGGATCGTGCATACGATTGGTTATTTGAATGAGGTGAGAATCGGGGAGAGGGGGTGGGGAAAGGGAGAGAATGAGAGAGAGAGAGAGAGAGAGAGAGAGAGAGAGAGAGAGAGAGAGAGAGAGAGAGAGAGAGAGAGAGAGAGAGAGAGAGAGAGAGAGAGAGAGAGAGAGAGAGAGAGGGAGAAATAAAGAAGAGGAACGTAATGGAGGAAGAGCAAAAGAAAAGTAGATGTGCCGACGAAGCGCCATTGTTTACCCCCAGGTTTAATTAATATTATGTTACGGAAAATATGTATAAAGTATCTGTTACAAAATATTTGATACAGAAATGAGATAGGAGCAAGCAGAGCAAGAGTAGGTACATGGACATTCGTTGAAGAGCTAGAAAGTTCTTAAAAATAGCGCTCCGGCAAAACTGCGTAAGTAAAATACATTGCTAGCATAACCAACATTCACTTCTTATGCGCTGCTGCAGATTCATGGAACTGTCAGTTCTACTCTGACCCGTTCAATTTCTGTTCAATTTCAGATGTCTATCCGCGGTCTCGGCTTTCTCGGCGGGATAGCGATCTGTATTTTCATGGCCGGATCGACTCTCTACTCCTGCTGCTCAATCGCCTAAAACTGCGGCCATGTCGTCGACAAGGGGTCGATGCATTCCATCGGGCGCGTGCTTTTTCAGGAATGTTTAATTTTTGAATCATGCTTGAAGTGAAACAGAAAAATGAGTCGTTTGTTTATGTGTCTGGTAAGCGATGTGTCTGTTTATGTGTTTGCTTATGTGTCAGGTCTGACATGCACAGCATCAGCCATCAAGCTAGGGTGCTAGGGGATAAATTAAATGTACCTATTTTCTATAGTTCCATGCTTACGTGACAGTGGGACTGTGGGTATATTGAAGTGGAAATACAATATTTGAAATACCTTTGTTGTGTTTGAGAAGAAGTAACTAAACCGTTGAGTCAACATGCTGCCACCGAAAGCCGCTGTAAAATTGGTGAATAAATGTAATATGTTTTGCATTATTTACACACTGGAATGGATCGATGATTTTTGATAATAAATACTAATTGCTTTTCAAGTTCCTGACAAAGTATCTTTTGTTGCCTGCGCAAAGCTCCAGGCGAAACTGTAGCTAAGGTTTATCTATCAACCATGAGTGCGCACTGCGCATTATCCCAACTCCTTAGGCACTAGCTCATGACTTCAGAAGGCTTTTTCTAGCTGCAGACCGGGATAAACCAGGAAGCGCCAAAGAGTCGTCGGACCGGACAAACCATGTCAGAAGCCATGAATGTTAGCCATACGTGGTAATCACTTATACGGCATCTGAAAAGTCATTGTACTGTGACTGCTTAGTTGCTATGTTACTCTAGCTCTTTGCAACGTGTCACATTGTGAAATATATACGGAGCTGTTGGGCAGACTGCGTCCGGAGGTAAAAACGACTTTTTACCAGCTAGCTCATTCACGGGCCGGACATCACGGGATGATGGTCGCCCACCCGTGCCTTAGCCAAACGGATCAGTCACGGGCGTCACCATTTTTGAACGTAGTATTGGTAGGTAGAGCTCTCATGGCTAATTTACCAAAGCATTCTTACCATGTAGCGCCATAGGGGACAGTGCTAATGAGAAAATTTCATAATTATTGGTAGGAATCGGGAACTACCAAGCCTATATAAAACAACATCCATGTATTGCTACCTGGATCTACTCTACTAAAATTCAAGCACTGCACCGTGGGCCACGGCCGCGAAGTTATGAGCCAGACCAGAGTGCTTGTAGATAGGTACCCAAGTACCTAACTCACTTGTGCTGGTTCACCTGAAATTATTCGTAGTTTTCACGTTCATGCTGCTTTTCAGCTTGATACCGGATAATTGATAGCATAGCTTTCTAGTTTCTATACACCATGTTTTGCTATCATTTACTTGCGGCATTTTATTTCGTCATACATCACAGACGCCGCTAGATGTCACCACTATTTACGTGTCTTTTCTATAAGACTTGTTACAAATACAGTACTGACGCAATTGAGACGTTTGTTTCGTCTCCGTCATCCGTAAACAAATGTCACATATGGGTCGAATTCCATGAGCGGGGAGGATGTCCATGGGTAGTTTTTGCTTATTTAAGTAAATAATTAACATTGTGCGAATGAAAGTCACTTCAAAAGAAGCCTGAACACATTGGAAATCTTCCAGGTAAGCGTCAAAGTATGTCTAAGGGTAAACTTTCGAAGTTTTGCTCGGAGCCGGGGTTAGCCGTCAGCCGTCGCTCGTTGGAGCTTCATAGCATTTCAATTTCAATTTGACGATCATCAGAAGCTCAGCTCAGTACCTAAATTTTGCTTTTATTTGTACGGTAGTTGAATTTTAGAAAATCAACATTTATTGGTCTTAACCTGCAGATTTTCGGAAGGAAGGCTTTTGATTCGGTCTCGCATTGCCAATGCCACCTCCTTGCCAAACTCAAAGCTGCTGGTATAGAGGTACTCTTACCTGGAGGGCCAGCTTGGAGTATGGATCAGTTGAAGACTGGCTGCTACAACACTAGTCACCTCACTGTTGTACCATCCACATTCCACTCCAGACACAACTTCAGCGGCTAGCAGCCCAAAGCTCAATCAGCCCAGTCCGCAGACTCCGCACTCAGCACCTTAGTCCCAACTGTGCGAGTCCGAGGGCTGTCACAAATGACAACCCAGGGGGCTCTGAAATGGGAGGCCTCAGATGACATTTCGCACACATCATCAACTTGGCTTATGATCTGAATGTGGAGTGTAACAAGTGAAGTTAGCAAAGGTTAGGTCTCGTCTTACTCTGAAATTTCTTAAATCGTCCGCTTGCGCCAAAATTTATTCGTCCATTCATGCTCCGAAATTTCGGCGCACTGAGCTTAGAGCTACGCCGGATGCTGCGTCGAAATTTTCGGCGCAATCGGCCTGTTACGCCGGGCATGTCGACGGTAGCACGAATTTTATCCAGCCTGGCTCAATCCCAACTTTGACAACTTTGAGTGGGGAAAATGTTAACTTTGAGGGGTGAAGACGCAACCGGCAACTACTCGTAATGATACCAATCTCAATCATACTTTCAACGGTGACAACTGTGAACTAACCCGAGCTCTCCCCGCAGACTCGCCCCGCAGGCAGCCCGGGATAGCAACTGTGTGACTGATCTCGAATTAAATGGCCACCTGTCATCACTGCAAGCTAACCCTAACTCCCTCCCCCAACTCGCCCCGCAGGTCGCCACCATGAGGCCACCAGGGAACATTCTCTACATCATCCAGGGGGAGATGTCTATCCTCCTGACGGCCATGCGCCGCGGTCCGCGCTGGTCCGGATACAGCGCACAGGTGAGGGATACCTGAGAGATATGCCATATCTCACAGGTGAGATATACCTGACAGTACCTACCTTCAGGGCTGGGGAGTCAATGGATTTTTAGTGACTCCGATTCTGACTCCGGATTTGGCTTCAGAAATTGACTCTGACCCCGACTAAAGACATCTGCAGGGTCAATGGACTCCGACTCTGACTCTGACTTTCAAAAACTAACTCCGACTCCGTCTCCAGTCAGAACTGTGGATTCCGACCGACTCCGACTCTGACTCCGCGGCCCTGCCTAATCTTGAATTAAAGGTCGTAAGGGCCTCTGGATGGCGAAATACCAGATGCCCTGCTATACTATTTATTTTACAATGTCCAGAGCCAGGCAAGGAGGCTTTGCCATGACTGTGATTCAGGTGCTGTCATCTGTTTTGTAGATGTGTGGTTTATATTAAACCATCAGGAAGTGACTGGCAGGTCTGACAAACTACTTATGGCTGATTCATAGACAGTTTCAGTTAACTATACTTGACGAGTCTAGCAATGCTTGGGCGGAATATGAAGATTTGCCGATAAAGGTGTAAGCAAGGAAGAAATTCCAGACAACAGTTGACCAAGAATCTGTTTTATTGTTCTAATTCACTACATTAAGGGAACACCATGCCCCACATGTTCAACATGTCCTGATTCTTCATGCTCACATTCGTCATGTTCACCCCCAGCAGGACGAGGGCCAGGACAGCCTGCTGAAGGCCTTCGCGGAGCTGAAGGTCATCCTAAGCCATACTGAACACTGGGAGGACCTGGATCCGTCGACAGTCATCAGTAAGTGTGATACGGTCAATTTACTGTCATAAAAGTGCCTCAGTCTGTCCCACTTTCAGTATGTCCCGTTGCTTAGTGGTTGTCGGGTATACTGAAATAATAATAATAATAATAATAAAATAATGTTCCCGTAGCTCTGTAGGTTCGGCCCACCAGTGGTTGGTTGCCAACATCACAAGAATCTATTTGCTTTGAATACGTTTGTAGGCTAAAACATTGCCGAAATGTTCGCATGAAACCTCTTCCGATTTTTATGAAGTCATTTCACAGGAGTGTCGGTGTCATTCAGAGTTATTATCCCTAAATTACATCGGCTGAGCAGCCCTTCTTTTGCTGGGGTACCGTAGCGTACAGCGTGGGACTCCCAATAGTGAGAGTCCGAGAACGAGTCGCTCCCGCGCTCGATATTTGAAACTCCTGACGTGGATGTTCTTCAGTTTGTGGGAGCAATCGCGGCCAGTTAAAGTCAATGAATAAGATGAACCACCTGGCAACCTTTCAAAGTCACCTTGACCTATCTCAGTCATCCTTCGTTGTCGCGAATTCTGTTGCGATTTGTTACGGAGCGAGCGAAGCGAGCGGAGTCTTACGTAGAATAACGGAAATTTCTGAGTATGAGCGGCCGGCCGGCCGGCCGGCCGGCCATGCGGACGCTTTTGCGAGGCTTATATCTCAGCAACCACTTGACCGATTTACATGCGGTAATTTTTGTGTAGGGTAGCTTCATTCCTTCTACCAAGTATTGGACTATTCCCGATGCATGTGGGTGACCCCTTATGCACGTGCCACGTGCAAAACGAAGAGGTGTCAGTTTTGTAATTGTTGCAATATCCCGCGCCCCGTTGGGCTCTGCCGAGCAACGCCTTGAGTTGGGGGGGGGGCCATTTTGGCCCCCCCCCTAAGATCTCGAGAACCACGCAACGTAGCGACAAGCGGCAAACGGTGTTGGATAGCCCTATCAGGGAACTACCTTGTGACCCAATTTTATTGACCTAGGTCAAACCGATGACGTCACAGGTCAGGTCAAAGGTCCAATTTTCACCGTTTACAGGCATTTCAAGAAATGCGTTGTAAAATCGAGTAAAATGCATTTCATTGAAAATCATCGATGGGGAAATGTTCTTCAAACACATATTTTGCTAGTTGAGGTCACTGATACCAGGTCAGGTCACTGAGGTCAGGTCACTGGGGGGTCACAATATGAAAGTGTCGTGTGATACATGTTTTATGGTCCATTTTACATGACAAATGCGATTATGTGGGTCAGGCAGCCTTTGGGGCCAGCTTAGGTCACGTTTTGGTCAAGGTCAGGTCAAGGTCAGGTCAAATAAGGTCAAATTTCAAAGTTGATATTTTTGCATAAAATGGGTATCGAATCGATGCAGCTCGTCACGGGGAGTTCAATGGTGGTCTTTGTTTTGCCGTACGAGGTCTAGAATCGCTAAAAATTGAGTTCAAAAATTTGACGTCATCATTTTTGAACAGTTTTTTCGCTATAACTTGGCCAAAAAACGAGATATCGATCTGAAATTTGGTATGTATATAGAAGAGCGCAGGGACTATCATATTTATTCCGGTTTTTTCGAAATTCAGAAAAATTTTGGATTTTTTTTTTAGTTTTTCTAAAAAAATCAATTTTTTGAATTTTTTTGGGTCAAAAACCCAAAATTTCGAAAATCCGAGATAGCAGTTTTGTAGCGCCGCTTTTTGTCTATTAGACCATATAAAGAACTTTGAAATTGCTTGATAACTGTAGATTTGGTGAGCGTTTCAAGATTGCATGTTTTTTGCTCATTTTTGCTCGAACATGACCTCAGTTTGACCTCAATAACTCCTGACCTAAGGTGACCTAAGACTTGAAATTTGGTGTGAAGGTGTCAAATTGATGCCCGGAAAGGTACTGAAAATTTGGCGGCGCTGCGCGCCGCCGTTTTCTTGCTATTCAGGAAAAACCACAGGGGGGGGGGCCAAAATGCCCCCCCCCCAACGGGGCGAGGGATATCTCGGTAACTACTTGGCCGATTGCGCTGAAAGTTGGTATGTAGGTAGGCACCCACTAGGCACTGCATATCCATGTGCCAGAGTTGGGGTGCTGCTGCACGTGCGCACGTGCAGGGGTCGTTTCCAGATCTCGAGAACGGCTGGACCGATGGCGCTCAAATTTGGTACACAGTTAGGGACCAGTTAGTAGGGTGCCGTGTACAAGTCAGTTGGGACCCATTTTGCACGTGCGCACGTGCAGGGTGCCGCTCCCAGATCTCGAGAACGGCTGGGCCGATTGTGCTCAAATTTGGCACATCGCTAGAAACCGGTCAGTAGGGTGCCGTGCACAAGTCAGTTGGAGGTACCCCTCGAAATTTCGCACGTGCAAGACTCACCCCCTCGCTCGCTCCGTTAGTCGCCCCAAAAGGCGCTATACTGGTATTCTTCTTTCAGATACCTTCTGGCTAGATGGTTATTATTTACGAAGGTCTCCCAGTCAAGGAGTCGCATCAAACGTACAGCGGCGACTATCGTATCACGCATTTTATTACCCTCCAGATAGGAGCCAATCCTTGATTTGGGCTGAGATATCAGATATGTCCCTTCACTAGCAGGCGGATTATATGAACTTTCTTCGTTTTTGACGCTCACACAAATCTAAGGTTTTACGCGACACAAAAAGACGTCCGTTTATGCTTCTTTGCAACATTTGATGTTTAAAGTTTCTATGTGCGTACATGCAGATATAAGTGTTGGCTTTTGACACCTCATTTACTTATTGTGAACTTTTTATATTAGTGTTTTGATAAATCTTGTGTAACTTTTCGCAGAAACGGGATACCATAGAAGTGAATCGCATTGCATACGATCTTCAGCCAATGTACGAAGCGTATATTTATCATTACCTACTGTCGCGGAGGCGCGGAAGGAGAGACGACTGAGCGGGCCGAGACTTGTATTGCGACTGTGGTTCTGATTCTGATTCTGATTGGGGTTCGCCAGTGCCTGTGCGTTATATGCAAGGTGGTTGCACAATGAAGGACCGGTCCGCCGACCTTCTGGTATATCTAGGTCGTCGGGCGGTGCCGTCACGAAGGGGAAAGTGACGGATATTTCATTGTAACAAAGCTTGAACGTGTACTCTCTTTATCATGATATGGAAGAAGGGAATCGGTCCCACATTATCTTTCATGTAGCAGTGAGAGCCATCATTGTCACCAACTGGCAAGTCCCAACTCTCTCCCCATTTTATCTTGGCAGCTCCGTTCCTGAACGTCATCCGTGACAATGACACCCCGGGACCGGTCACTGGACTGGCTCTGGGGGCCGTCAACAAACTGCTCTCCTATAACATCATAGGTAAGTGACGTGTGATGTTTGACGTCATAAGGACATCATACTGATGGATGGTGTGTATTATGTAGTAATGGGCTATAATGGTCAAGGCCTTGAGAGGTGTGAATAAGCATCTCTTCCGTAAATATTGATGTAATCAAATCATTGCTGTCAGGTGACTCATGAAGTTGCATTCCGTGCAGTTAGTGATGTGACCCGCCATATGATGTTCTCTTTCTCTCTCTCTCTCTTTCTCTCTCTCTCTCTCTCTCTCTCTCTCTCTCTCTCTCTCTCTCTCTCTCTCTCTCTCTCTCTCTCTCTCTCTCTCTCTCTCGCTCTCCCTCTCTCTCTCTCACCCTCTCTCTCTCTCTCTCTCTCTCTCTCTCTCTCTCTCTCTCTCTCTCTCTCTCTCTCTCTCTCTCTCTCTCTCTCTCTCTCCCTCCCTCCCCCCAGACCCCAGCCTGGAGTCTGCCCCTGCGGTGATGGAGAGTATCGCCGACGCTGTGACTCACGCCCGGTTTGTGGGAACGGAGACTTCCAGTGACGAGGTGGTTCTCGTCAAAATACTGCAGGTTAGTGATGGGACAGATTACTTATGGATGGGAAATGCTTAAGCAAGTGATTACGGAGCGAGCGAAGCGAGCGTAGTCTTTCCTTAGATTAACGGAAATTTCTGAGTATGAGCGGCCGGCCGGCCGGCCGTGGTCACGCTTTTGCGAGGCTTATATCTCAGCAACCACTTGACCGATTTACACGCGGTAATTTTTGTAGGGTAGCTTCATTCCTTCTACCAAGTATTGGACTATTCCTGATGCATGTGGGTGACCCCTTATGCACGTGCCACGTGCAAAACGAAGAGGTGTCCGTTTTGTAATTGTTGCAATATCTCGGTACCTAACTACTTGGCCGATTGCGCTGAAAGTTGGCATGTAGGTAGGCACCCACTAGGCACTGCATATACATGTGCCAGAGTTGGGGTGCTGCTGCACGTGCGCACGTGCAGGGGTCGTTTCCAGATCTCGAGAACGGCTCGACCGATTACCCTCAAATTTGGTACACAGTTAGGGACCGGTTACTAGGGTGCCGTGCACAAGTCAGTTGGGATCCATTTTGCACGTGCGCACGTGCAGGGTGCCGCTTCCAGATCTCGGGAACGGCTGGGCCGATTGTGCCCAAATTTGGTACGTCGGTAGAAACCGGTTAGTAGGGTGCCGTGCGCGTCAGTTGGAGGTACCCCTCACAATTTCGCACGTGCAAGGCCCACCCTCTCGCTCGCTCCGTTAGTCGCCCCAAAAGGCGTTATACTGGTGGTACAAAACACTTCGGGACGGAAATAACTTGAGAATAGTGGATCACATCCGTGTGAATAGGTATGTAGTGGTTCGTGCCGTTATGAAACGTAGGTTGGAATATGATCAGGGTACGTACAGACTTAACATAATACCAGCCGGATAGCAGTGGGTCAGAACCTTATTTACTTACAGACAGAAATACTGCAGTTGTGTGATTTCACTTTGGTGTGATGATCGTCGCTGATTAATAACACATAACTGAAACTCTCCTCATCACCATGTAGGCTCCAGTGATCCAGGGGGGGGGGGGGCAAAATGGGCATTTGCCCCCCCCCCAAACGGCATAATTTTAACATTACGCCTATGGACGATGCATGGAAAGAATCGATAAATTGTTATGGTTTGCCCCCCCCAAACTCTGAGCTGGATCCGCCTCTGGTAGGCTCCCAGCCGCTTGCCGAGGACTGTATGTATTTGACCGCTTATGTGTCCTACCCAGGTACTGAGGACTCTACTGATGATTCCCTCCGGGTATCTCCTCTCCAACGAGTCCGTCTGTGAGATCATGCAGAGCTGCTTCCGACTCTGCTTTGAGCCACGGCTCAGCGGTGAGTATGACTCAGCAGAGTCAGAGTCAGACTGAGGAGTGTGACTCAGTGGGCTCATTCAGGACTCGGACCCTCGTGGTTGGTACTGCATCTCTTGTGGTTTGAGCTGCATTTCTACAGGATTTAAAGGGTAAGTAGGACGTTTGGAGATACATATGTAATACATAATATAATATGTATCTATATAAAATGTATACATTGTATATTACATAATGTATATGATTTATCGAGGCTGAAGGCTCTTTTCGACTTCATTGCTTTTTTGATGGGGATGGGGAGGGGGATCAGGGCTCATTTGAATTGTTCTACCTCCTTGGGACTCAGGTGGACTATGGTACAAATATCTGAGACTGGGGTAGACTCCGAGGTAAGATCTGTATTTCAGAGTTGTTCTGTTGTTCAGACGTATCCATCCTGATATATCCAACTTCTCACCTTCACTCACTGAGATCTATCACGCCTTTTATTTAATACGTACCCGTTACATTCCAGAGCTGCTGCGCCGCTCAGCTGAGCACAATCCTAATGGACCTGACTGGTTCGCACGACTGCGTTGTATCACGTGCTGTATTTCCCATTAACCCTCTATGTTCCAGAGCTGCTGCGCCGCTCTGCTGAGCACATTCTGACCGACCTGACTCAACTGCTGTTCACTCGACTGGCCGAAATGTCAGAGGATGATCAGACCAGCTCTCTGGCCCGGGTAGGTCGTTCTGTTTTGGGATTTATTGAGACTTATTTTGGGCTGTACCCAGCTTATCGATGGTATCTCACAAATACTCGTCCCGATTTATGTTTTGTACAGTTTTAACCATGAGCCTAAAATAGCCGGAATGACTTACGCTGTCTAACTTACCGTTTTGTGTTTTTCAGAAGCTGAAGATGCGCTCGGGAAGTCTGGACGGGCGGGGGAAGAAGAAAGGAAAGTTTCCCCGGCTGAAGTACAGAAGGAGGCAAGGAGAAGGAAAGGATGCGATGGGAAAGGAACAGGGCAAAGGTGAGAAAAGGAGGGAATGAAGAAGAGACAGACCATTAGCGAGTTCAGGTTTATAAAGAGAAATGATAAATTTAGAAATTTTAGAAGACAAAGGAAAACAATGTGATGCGATGCTGTATCAAAGAATTTCAACGAAATAACATTTATCATGGAATTGCCCTGTGTTTTTAGGCGAAAATTGTTTCAAAAGGGCTGTCGATTATGTATTATTTTTTATTAATTTTACCGTCGTACCACTGTCGCCCTCACAGTTGATTCATATATCAATGAAAAGTTACCAAGGGCAGTGTCATGGGGCGAACTGGATAATTTGCAATTAACATTAGATGGAGAATGTCAGAAGTGAAAAGAATGACAACACCAGCGCCCTCTCTTCGAACAATTCGCACCAAACTGAACCTCAACTTCCACTCTCCGTCGACAGATGGTGCTGCTGTGTCCGGCGTTGTGAAGAAGCCCGACAGTCTGCCGGTGGAACCCACCACCACGGAGTCACAGTCGGAGGGAGGCGAACAGACTAGCCTGGAAACTGGTGGGTGGCAGAGAGTTTGAGAATAGACTGACCATTTTGAGAGGGGCGTGGTTCCTGGTCTTCATGAGTTCTAACGCTACATCCGTCATAGCATTGGGCCTGTTCCAGCGCCTCCAGAAACCTCCAGAAAGCTCCAGAAAGCTCTAGAATTCTCCAGAGAGCGTTCCAGCGCCTCCAGAAAGCTCCAGAAAGCTCTCGCCTAAGCTCCAGAAACCTCCACTGCCGTCGGGAGGAAAAAAGCCGTATCTGGGGCACTTTTTCGAATTGAAAATTGTTCAGGAGAGGCAAAAACGCGTTTTTTGTTATAAAATTCGTTAACTTTGCTCAATAACGAAACAAAACATACTGCAGTGATCGGAAAGAAATTTTACATTCAATGAAAGTGGTTATAAAAGGGAAATTATTTTAACCTAAAAGCAAAAGGCGAAAAACTTTTTTGCTTCCAATTCAACCCCGAGTTTGCGGAATCTTTCTTTCACGAAAAAAGCCGTATCGTGGAAGAAAGCCGCATCGTACGAGACACCTGAGCAATACTGTCATGAAAAAAGCCGTATGTCTGATACATTGAATAACCGATCGGGAATAAAGCCGTATCGCCATTTTTGTTTAATCATATTGTTGTCAAAAAGCAGTATCATCGGTGCATTTGTATTGACAGCGTATTGGTTCATAAAAGTACTAAAGCAGTTCCGCTGCCGGTTCCGTTCCACTGCTTCAACTCTCAAGTATGGATATTCAATTGAACGTTCGATACAAAAACAAACATGATACCCATTTTAAAGGAACTATCCCACCTTTAACATGGGGTTTGAGTTGAGACATCATTATAAATAATCGCATTATTGTCGTAACTTTAGGCTCTTGGATTCTGATTGTGCAGGGTGCCATCAAAAGACAGCTTGACCAACCGACCAGGGACGTAGCCACGGGGGGGGGGGGGGGGCACAGGGGCCATGCCTCCCTCTAAACGCGAAAAAGATAAGATAAAACTTAAAGAAAATAACCACAGCTGCACCACACCCCAAAAGATAGTGGGCCAAATCCGAGGAGTTTTCCTTTTCTGGAGGGGCACGACACTAGGCCGCGACCTGTGGCCCATCCCTGAGCAAAATCCTGGCTACGTGCCTGCAACCGACAAGGGGAATCAAGAATGCTGTCTTTGTACGGTGCTTCAATTTTCGATTACACTGGACTCCAGAGTTAATTCTGAGCCACCGATATATTCGGAGTGATGAGTGTGCCGGTCTGCCGCTGCGCCGAAGCCACGGCGACAATTTCGAGAGAACCGAGATAGTGTAGTTTCCCATCGTCGATCTGCAGACCTCAAAGCACTTCAAGGGGGCAAGAGACGATGAGTGGGAATGTTGCTGATTAGCTGGACACAAGGTTCCCGGAAAAGGGACGCTGTTAAGTCACGTGGTGCGCAGCTACAAGCACGGAACCGCCCGGCTCCTGAACCAAAATAGAGGATGGTGTAAGAACTTCAGGAATTCCCGTAAAGAAACTGCATCTACAAAGCCTGTGCGAAACATCTAGGGCGACAGCACTGTGCCGTGGCTGAGGGTGTAAGCAAATGCCGCCTCATTGTCGGAGGTAGCTAGACTGCTGACAACTCCACACGTCTGCGGGAACGCCCTTTAGAGGGCGCACCCTCAAAAGGCCCCCCAATGTGCACTCGTATTCACAGGGCTCTGATTATAGCGCCTACTGCAACAGAGCAGAGGGCTATTCAGTACGCCTTGCTGCAACCTCCACCGGCCACAGCTGTGCTGGTAGGCTCTGGGCAGCTGCCCGTAGAATATGACAATGTTGGGCTTGTGTGGGTGCTACAAGGTAGCCTAAATTTCCAATATGATTGAGCATCATGGGTATGAGGGAGCCGGAAAGAAGACGGTAAAGTCATTGACCCGGAATGGAAGTGAGATGACGGTCCCAAAGATACATGGGCGTGGTCACAATTATCACAATGAATGTGACGAGGTTGGCAATAGCAATCGACCTTTCACGGTATTCAACTATACCTTCAACGGTTTTACGACAAAGATTGTAGGTCGTCGTACTAAGCGTGCCGGCTACGAGCTGCATGTCTATGATGATTACCGGGTCGAACTTAACATGATGCTATTTTGGTTGTGGGGTGGGGTGGGGACAGGGAGGCCAAATTAATCATGGGGGAGGCTAGGTCGGGTATTTTTTGTTATTGGAATTTTAAACGAAGCTGGGGAAAAGAACGGTCGGATAATACTGGCGGTCCCGGCTGGTTAGCACATCAAAATACTGAATGCCCGGCACCCTGCTGACACCACCGAGCTGGCAAAGTTCTGTTGGCTTCAAACTTTTTAAGTTCACTCCCTATTTTATTTCAATTAAAATTCCCCTATAAATGGTCACATATTGCTACGATCACGTAGCATGTTTGTGTAAATGTTCAACTGTTCCGTCCAGGATATGCCGAAGCCATGCTAAATGCGTAGATACGGCTTTCTTCCAAACTGCCTGGACCAACGATTCGGCTCATATTTCACAGGCCACCATCAAATAAAAGCCGTATCTACAAGATACGGCTTTCTTCCTGACTTATCAGTTCCACATTCTTTGTTTGAAATTTTGTATAAATGCCGTATCTGCCGAATTTAAGGATACGGCTTTCTTCCTGCGTGTTTTGCTATCCCTGATGTAACAAATCCGTTTTTGAATTTTTATATTATATATAATATTTTCATTTTTGAATGTACACACGTTTGAGCAGTACCATTAAACGCATCATGAAAAGAGCTTTCCAACGATATCAAAAACGAAAAATCGATAAAAATGTGACATACGGCTTTTTTCCTCCCGACGGCAGTCCAGTAGCCTCCAGAGAGTTGGGAGGTCCCAATTTCTCTGGAGGCTCTGGTCTACAATTATGGCGCACATGTGACAATCACGAATGTAAACAAAGGACTTTTGACTGCTAATTCTACAACTTGAATGTAAAGAAAATTACATCGCTATAATTTTGTTCATCTTTCTTTCTAAAATTGAAAACAAATTTTGTGTTTCAAGATAGAACAATCGTCATTCTTTTGGTATCTGTGACACCAATCTCCAGAAATCTCCAGATTGCGTTCCAGCGCCTCCAGTGAAACCTCTGGTAGAGCCTCCAGTCAAGAATTTCTACTGGAGGCGCTGGAACAGGCCCATTGATTCGGAGGATGTTATGGGTTTAGTTAGGCTCTCTGTCCTTTTTGACTTAGGCACTCACATTGTTTCGTTTTTTTATATGTTGATGATTGATCGTTCCAACATGTCATCCTCCAGAACAAGGCATACTTCAAATTCTCCTATCTATTCTCGCGATGAATTTCTGAGCGGCCCTCGCATACCTACATTACTTACACCAATCTCAAACACACTTAAGCCTCTCAGGGCTCATTTACACTCTCTAACATCGCCCCTTCTCTCTCCCAGGTACACCCTCTGACAGAACACCTCTCGCCACCACACCGGGCGTCCCTAAGGGCGCCGTGGTCGATTTGAACCACCTGGACCGAGTTCATGTGCCGGAGACTGTACGTGAAACCCCGGAGGAGGGCCCGCCAGTGGTGCCATCTACTGAATCTACCGGGGAAGTACCGGTTGAAGATGGGGAGAGTGTGACAGAAGAGCAGAGAAGTGGAGGAGATGGAGCGGGGGAGAATCGAGAGGTGAGTATTGGGGAGAAGGGGAGAGAGGGGGAGCGAGGGAGGGAGGGAGGGAGGAAGAGAGAGGGAGAGGGAGGGAGGGAGGGAGGGAGGAAGGAAGAGAGAGGGAGAGGGAGGGAGGGAGGAAGAGAGAGGGAGAGGGAGGGAGGGAGGAAGAGAGAGGGAGAGGGAGAGAGAGGAAGAGAGAGAGAGAGGCGCTCTCTCAGCCAACATTAAGTCTTCCCTTCCTCTCAGCCGAGGGACTGGTAGAATTGAGAGGAGACTGCGATGGTATATCGCCTGAGACAAAGGCCTGTGCCTACACCAGACAGATTGGCCACAAACTCTACCAATTTGTCGGATCGCAGCGGGAACACCTGTTCGACTTGGATGACTGCGCCACCCTAAAACAGGCTGTTACTCGAATGGCCTGGATTATGCGCTTCTGCCATAACGCCAGGCGCCCGCCCGCTGAGCGGTGGTCAGGACCACTGAGCCCAGACGAGAGGAAAACCTCGCTGCATGAGCTAATTCGGACAACCCAAGAGTTGGCATACCGTTCCGATATAGCTTCAAAACAGAACGGCTCAGCCCTGCTAACTGTTGACTCGACTCTGGACAAAATGCGGCCACAGCCCACAGCTGAACGCGGATGGATTATTGTGCGCCGTGTTGAGAACAAACGAAGGTGGAGGGGACGGAAGGTGAAGGTGGGGCCGCCGGAAGGTGGAGAGGTGGTAAGGAAAGAAAGGGTTTCTCGAAAAGCGGCAAAAAAAAAAAAGATTCAACATATGAGTTTGGGGACTCGCTCTATCGTCTGGAAGAAGATAGGCCCCTCTTGCATGGAGACACAAGTCAAAATCGTGTTCAGGTGTTTCTAAATAGTCTGCAGACCATTCATATCGAATATGAATCTCAATCTAAATACGTTGCCAATTTTATAGAAATATTCGTCCAATGAGACTGCGAATTCGGGGTTAGTCTCCTCCGTGTAAGAGGGGCATATCTTCATCCAGACGATAGATTGAGTCAGTTTGGGCAGACGAGTAGAATGGGAGAGTTTCATAGACGGGAGAAGGGGGAAAGGTGGAAGGTTATCGTGAATTTCATTGAAGTGCGGTATAGGGCGGTCGGAGGGAGATTTAACATATGAGTTGGGCAGATGATACAGCGGACTAGTTTTATAGATGGGAGTCGGAGACGAAGGTACCGAAAATCCATCGACTCCGCAGCCCTGGTTCGGGTTTGGGGGTGGGGGGGGGATGATCGTTGGCACGGAGCGTTAGAGATGCGAGAGTTTTGCGTATAAAAAGGTTTTTCTCAATGCAATGCAGTTTTGAAGCTTTTTGATGAAACTGTTGTAACCTCGATAAATAAACTCGATAAATTGGAAACAATAGATTTGTGTGAGTGATGCAGAACTCATCTCAAATATGTGACTGTCCTTCTGTGGATTAATATGTTTTTCACTTCCATTTTTTCGGAACCAAAACAAATCACACCCCATAATTAATCGTCATTAACGACAAATGTTCGCTATTCCGCATGTTAACCCGCGCCCCACTGGGGGGGCTATTTATAGCCCCCCCCCTCCCGTTTTTCTGCAATAACTTCCAAACCGCTTGACGGATCGACGCCAAACTTTCAGTACCTTCGGCTGCATCAATTTGACACCTTGTGTCAAAATTTGAACTTCGTAGCTACCATAGGTCGGCCGGAAATGACGTCAGAGTGACGTCATGTTCGTCCGATTTCGACGCAAAACATTGAACCACGGCAATCGCTCCCAAGAGCTTAGTTTTTAAGCTAGGTCCAATTTCTTTGCATGAAAGGACTCAGAATTGACCGCGCTATCAAACTGCTATCTCGGATTTTCAAATTTTGAAAATTTCGAAAATTTTATATAATAACATTCAAAATTTATATTTTTATATTTTTTCAAAAAGTTTTTGACTTTTCGAAAAAACCGGAATGTATGTGACAGAACGCATGATTATGACTAACTCTAGCAAGTTTTAGCTAAATATCTTCAAAAATGGCCAAGTTATACGCATTATTGCAAAAAATTCACAATTATTAATTTTTCAAATCAATTTTTCAGTACCTACGTATTTGACATCGTACACCAATATAAATGGCACCATCGTGTTCCTGAGCTCAAACTGCATCCAATAGACACCTTTTTTGTTGAAAAATTTCAACTTCAAAATTTGACCTTTTTTGACCTGAAAGTGACCTGACCTAAGCTAAATTCGACTCAAAATGACCTCGAATGACACAGACGACATCAAATTCGAAATCTATGGCCTAAATGGACCATAAAACATGTGTCACGTGACCGACGCATGATATAATATTTCCGTGACCTGTGATGACCTGACCCTGACCTGAAAATCAAAGTACAAGTTTGGTACCCTTAAGGTATCTAGAGCATCTGTTCACGAGTGTGGAAACCAAAAATGAGCCTGATCTGACTTGTAAGACGGCGGCCAGAGCCCAAAATGTGAACGAGCCAAAATGCTAATAATTTTTACTTTGACCTGACCTGTGACGTCATCGGTGACCTCGAGGTCAATGAAATTAGGTTTCGCTCGACAGTTTTTCCGGGGCTATCAGACGCTGTTTGAATTTTGACGATCGGTCCAGTAGTTTCGGAGTTAGGAAGGGGGGGGGGCTATGAATAGCCCCCCCCCAGTAGGGCGTGTTATACACAGACCCCAGTGGGGCGCGGGTTAATTTGCCAAGTATATCGCGTCCGGAACTCGTATCAATTGCGGAAGGTCCTCCGGTTGAGTTTACGAAACGTTCTCCTGATGATGTCGAACTGTTTATAAATCAGCATGTATGTTACATAGTTTCTGTGCACGGATTTGCATGGTCGAACGGACAAATATGTGATAAACATTAGTTAGCCGAACTGGTGGATTGGGACTTAGGAGGGGTAGAGAGATGTTTATGAACCCATGAGAAATATTTGTGAAACAGGGAGGAGCATTGCGCTTATAGCTGGGGTTGGAATGGGGGTGGCGAACTATTGGTGTACGACCTCATCTCTGAAAAATATTTGTGAAGTTCATACGTGACACAGGACAGAATATACCTAGTTATCATACGCGCACGGTAAAACTGACGTCTGACTTTCGTTGATGATTGCTCTGGCTTTATTGATTCGTGTTTTATGTTTACTTTAGCTGTTTATTCACATTTGAGTTTTATTTCGTTATTCGTCTTCTTTTTAGGCTTTATGATTTCCAATGTATGCACTATTCTGGAAAATTTTGCATTGTCGATGTGGTTTTAAATCCAAACTTCACCTACAAGCAATATCATATACGATGGCTGTCAAACAGTGATATATGAATTGTTTTTATGATGTGATATCTTTCTAGCCAGCGTCATTGGAAGCTCTTACTTTTGTTTGGCGTTAAACGCATCGTTCTGCCTCTTGGTGCCCATGTATTGCCCATTTATTTACATGCTGTATTCAAATCACCAACAGGAGTACGACACACAACAAAATGCATGGCTAGAGCTTGTTAGAGCATAGTTCACTTTTGGTTTCACGTAGAACAGCTACCATCCATCGAACAGTCTTTGGGCAGTTGGCTATCATTACATTGCGAAAAAAAAACATTTACCACTCTGAGGCAATGATAAGGTAACTAGGTACATACAAAGAGGAAATAGAAATCTCTTGAATTTAGCTTTTCTCTTAAAACTAAAGAAGCTCTAAAAACTAAAAACTAAATCGCCCCATTTACATGTCCCTCATTTTCATTCCATTTTCCAGTTTCTCATTCTTTCCGTCTCCCCCCCCCCCCCCCATACACACACCAGGTCCTTCAGTTTGGCACCGTCTTTTCCACTCCCTCTTTCTCCCCTTCTTCCACTTCTGTCTCTGCCGTTCCCCCATCATACCAACCACCACTTCCTTTAGTTCATCTTCATCTTCAACCACCCATCTCCTCATCCTTTCCCTTCTCTCCCCCACCACGCCCTTCACTCCAGCTTTATCTCACACATGGCCTTCATCTTCCGATCACACCAGTTATCATGCCACCTCCTAAACTTCCCTCCCAAGTGCACACAATCTTGTCCTTTCTTCTCGCCGTTCGGCTGGCCTCTGTCCCAGTTCTCAAAATCAACCTCCGTTCCATCGCTCCACCCCCAGGAGTCTTCCGTTCTCGCTAAACCGATCCAGGTGTTTTTCCGACCTCCTTCAAAAGCGAGGATGTTGATGTGGAAGATGGTGTCGTGATGGATGGAAGCCAGTCTAGCGCGGGAGTCGAGCGAAGCACAGGCGTGGTGGGATGAGGTCCATGTGGTGCGGTTTTTGGTGAGGAAGAAACAGGAGGAAGAGAACTTACTCCAACCGGGAGGGCAGGTTGGTTTAGGACGAGGGCTGTTGGAGAGATTGCTGGAGAGAATGTGGGAGGAGTTGTTGGAAGAAGAGCTGGGAGGCTCAACTTGAGGCGGTGAAGATATTTGTTCCTTGGAGGCTGGCGCTGAAGATCCTGATGAACAGATGATCTGCTGAGGTGGATTCTTGCTTTCCTTGGTCAATTTTTGATCGCTTTTCGCCGTTTCCATGGTAACCGGAGAGGCGTTGTTGTGCGTGTCGATGTGACTCTCCTCGCCGCTTTGCTGGAGACCGAAGAAAGTCACCTCTGATTCTGGCATGGTTGGGGGATGTTTCATTTTCTCTTCAGTCAGCGATGGAAAATATTCCACTTCGTCCTTCCATTCCAATGGAAAATAGTCGACTTCCGTGTCTACTTCATTAGGATGATCATGATAGTCGTATTCACTTTCCGGTACACTGAATGGGTAGCCTTGTGACAGCAAAAACGCATGAGAAATTGGCATGGAGATGGCCAGTAAAACCAACATCAACCTCATGAGATATCCTCCAGCTAAAGTCATCTTCTTCGTTATCTTCTTCGTTATGTTTAAATCTCAATGGGCCGTTGTGTTATAGTGACACCGAAAACACGCGTTAGCCGTTACACCGAGTTTTTCCAATCAGCTTGTCTGATATTGTGTTTAGGTTAGAATGGGAAGATCTTTAGCTAAGATCTAGTGATCTTTATCTTATATTGGTGATCTTCAATCAGACTGACGACACTTCGGAGCTCAACTTCAGATTTTCAGCTCAGAATCGACTGATCCTCAGCTGACTTGTCCGGTGTTTCTAAGCCGAGATTGGTGAACTGCACCGTAGATTGACAGGTCTTCAGCTTCAATAGACTGATTCAGCTCAGATTGACTGATATTTAACTCAAACTAACCAATATCTTGCCCGGTTTAACCAAATCACCAACCGAACAACCGCTCAACCGTCAGGCTCACTCACTGACTAATAAACCAACAGACCGTCCTACCGGCACGACCGTCCAAACCCAACTGGCCACCAGACTGGGCCTCTGTACATTCCACTGTGTTGTACCCCGTGCACCGAGCAGCACTCTATCACCTCCTGTGTACGTTTTTAGCTCTGGTGTAGCATCTCTGGGGATTTGAATTCGCTGGATGTTTATATTCCACGTCGGGCTGTGAAGCTATGACGAGAAGATATGGGGGTGTTTTTGTGGGGTAGTATTAGTGCAGTGGTGTGGGGATGGGTTATAATGTTGACGTATTTGACATTTGGCTGTAGTTAATTAGCTTGGTTACCTTGAATAAGACGAAAACAAGACATCTGCCGTCTAGCTGCAAAGTGCAGATGGTTGGGACCTGGGACCGTGTTTTCGTTTTCTGCAGACTGAAGGGTCGACAGTAAACACATGTGCTGTGACGTCATCTCACGAGAAGCAAGCTACAGGGACTAGCCAGTCGCTAACGTCATGCATGAAAATAGCAGTTGATGGCATCGCGACAAACAAGTTAATCATCAGCTCCATTACCCGCTGATTCTATTTTAAAGTATGTGCACTGCATAGCCTACGTTTGTAAACAAATCTTGACGCATCCTGAGCCCCTCAGCGTGGCAGGAAATGTGTTAATCATTGCACTGTCATACTGTAGTGAGGCTCGTGTGATACGTAATATCTTATTTTGCTTTGTTTTTCTTTAATCACGCGTCACTGCAATTGCTTATTACTGATCTGTTTCTGTTCTTTTTTATCATGCAGCCTGACGACGCCCAGCCGTCTACAGAGCAGCCTCAGGCAGCGGCCAATGTCGGCCCGGAGGGGCCCGCAGGTCAGTTAACCAAGGTCATTTAGAGGTCACACAGGGTCTGTCTTAGATCATGGATAGTTCAGACTCAGAACCAAGCTCATTTACAGGTCACAAAAGGTCGGTACAGGCTCATGCATAGACTACAGAAAGGTCAACCTCTGATCATGTTTGGATCACATAAGGCGTCAAAAATGTCATTACTAGTCACTAGATCATGAGGACGTCACATCATTGTTCTCCTGATCTTTTACCCCCCCCCTCTCTCTCTCTCTCTCTCTCTCTCTCTCTCTCTCTCTCTCTCTCTCTCTCTCTCTCTCTCTCTCTCTCTCTCTTTCACCCTTACTCACTTCTTACTAACATGTTAACCCGCGCCCCAGTGGCGGTCTCAGCCAACTTCGCCCTAGGGGGGGGGGGGGCATGTTACCACCCACCTCTAACTAAAAAACTAAGAGGGCTAGAAGGACGCGGTAAAAAGCAGTCGATAGCTCTCAATGCGTACGTTTGAAAGTATTTCAGTCATTTTTATCTTAGAGCAATATTGGGGTCACCAGAGATCATCAAAGGTCAAAATTTGCCAATTGTCATTATATTTTTCAGAAAACATGCCGTTATCTCAGGAACTATGGTAGCTAGAAAAACGCATAGATCAGCAATCGATAGCTTTTGAACACTTCTTTTGATAAGGTCATTATCAAAATTGACCTCAGGTCAACGGTTTAGCCTCCAGAGGGCAAAAACTCAAAAAAATAGCTGTTTTCACGAAAAGTGTTTTTCGACAATAACTTTCGACTACGAAAAGCCACGACATTGCTATTGCCAGAATCGTGTTCCTCTCGCCGAGACGCGTCGAATGAACTATAATTTGACCTTGAAAGGTCAACTTGAAAATTTGACCTCAGGTCAAGGTCATGACCTGACCGGAAAAGGTCATGTTGCATATAAGTCGATGCGTCTCAACAAGACAAACACAATGAGACCATCCCCAGCGTTCTATCTCTTTCCAATCGCGAGTTATTGGCAAAAATTTGTTTGTAGCCTCAAATGACCTCGGATGACCTTTCTAGAGGCTATCAGCAAAAATGACACCTAGGTCATCACGGGTGGTCCAAATCATTGTGATTCTGAGATATTTGGACTGTTCCTATGCGTACACACGGATCTAGAGGCATTTTCATTTTTCTCCATTGACTTGTAATGGAAATGTCACGCCACTGACCTGACCTTAGGTCACGGATATAAAAATCCGAGATATACAAATTGTAGGCGCCCATAACAGCATGCAATCCACCAAGTTTAAGACCTTTCTGACAAACACTGCAGGCTGGACATGATTGCAAATTTTTTTAGGCTTGGTCAGTTAACTTGACCTGGTGACCTGACCTGACATGACCTGGGGTCAAAAATTTCACACATTGTCCAAAATTGATGTACCAAAAGCTATGCCAAGCGGCGCGGCGCTACGCGCCGCGGTTTTTTATTTACACGCAAAAAAAAAAACGCGACAGGGTGGTAACATATGCCCCCCCCCCCCCACTGGGGCGAAGGTTAAAGCTGCTGTCACTCACCTCTTAAGGCCGCCCCACACTGGAACTCGCATGCGGGTTGCGAGTTTGCGGGTTTTGGGTTTGCGGGCATAATACTAATTCATAGAGTGATTAGACTGTTCCCTTATGTTAACTCCATGAATGCAGTGAAGCCATTACACCTTCAGAAAATTACATATAGTCGCAATACCAGCACAACGAATCAAAATTCGACTCCAACGAAAAACCCGCAAACCTCGCAGAACTCGCAGACCTCGCAGCGAGGCAAATCGAAAGTTGACTCAAAATCAACTTTTGGAATGCGATGCAACGTGGCTCGCAAGCTAAAAACATGCAGACTCGCTTGCTAGATGGTAGTGTGAGTCACTCAGCTTAGAATGATTCTTTGATTTTGTAGAAACCCGAAAACCCAAAAACTCGCAACCCGCATGCGAGGTCCGGTGTGGGGCGGCCATTAGTTCTTACCAGCAGTTCACCTAAGTTCCCTCCCTTCTAATACCGTCAGCTCCTTCGCCCCCATCAGTCTCTAACCCTTAAACCCCTCTAACTAACCACCTCCCCTCTCCCCCAATAACCCCTCTATCCCTCTCTCTCCCACAGAGTCCGCCGAGCCGCTCTCTACGGACGGTGAGGCCCCCTCGGACGCCGTCTCACTATCGGGCGCCTCAGCCGAACCGCCGCCCGATGAGACGGAGGATGAACTGAGGGAGAACCCGCAGGGGGTGAAGTTCACGGGACGAGGAAGAGGTAGGGAGGTGGGTAGGGAGGGAGGGAGTGAGTGAGTGAGTGAGTGAGTGAGTGAGTGAGTGAGTGAGTGAGTGAGTCATGTAATGGGGTGGAATGGAATGACATGGAATGGAAGGGTAGAGAAAGGAGATTTTAACCGAGTTACCGAGTTAAGGAGCCTAAGGGAGCGTAGGATGGTAATGGAAGGATAATTGAATGATATGAAGGTAAATTTTCTTTTTATCTGTATGTGGTGGATAATTATAGTGATATTGATGAGTGAAATTGGAGACACACGATAAATTTTGACCATTTTTGGACAACGTCAATTTATCATCACTTGTTCTCATTTATCTTAATATTTGTCATTTATCACCATTTTTCACCCCTCGTCACTATTTCACTCATTTCTCCCCATCTCTCTCGCCAGGCTCGGGCCCTCTGGTGCCCTACGGCTTGCCCTGTGTGCGTGAGGTGCTCAACTTTTTCGCCTCACTCACGTGCCCTCTGGATCGGAACAACTCCGACTTTATGATCCACTGCGGGCTGGGACTGCTGGCGGTGGCGCTGGAGACGGGAGCCGATCATATGGCCAGACTGCCCTCGTTGATGGCGCTGGTTAAAGACGAGATCTGCAGGAACCTGTTCTCGGTGAGTGGAGTTAGATGGGAGTTGAGTTTAGATGAGTTGAATTGAGTGGTAAAGACTTAAGTTTGAGTTTTTTTTTGCCCGATTGGAGAGGAGATTTTTTTTTTGTGTCGGAAAGGATTTACTACGGATAAGATGACGGAACATAATTGTTTATCTGGCATTAAAATCACATGGTTATTAATTTGGCAATGATACTTTTCAGAAACGGTGAATACTGAATAAGCTATGCAAGATGTAAAAAATACTTCTTGAATCCCAGTTTAAAAACAATCTAATAAGTACACTTTCATCATTCATGTGTGATTATACTCTACATATTACGTTGTCAGATAGTGAAACGGTGCCAAGTTTTATCTCAGGCAGCTTTTGCCAAATTGTCAGGGAACTCAGATTTGTTTTTCAATAGAAAAACACAATTCTAAAGAATAGTGTTTTAACTATTGACAACAAACCTTCGGTTATCTTACCACACCCCTTTTACACCCCATTTACACCCTGTTTACTCTCCTCCCCAGCTGATGAACTCCGAGCGCTTGTCCATCTTCTCGGCGTCTCTGCGCTGCGCCCTACTGCTCTTCGAGTCTCTGCGCTCCCACACCAAGTTTCAACTGGAGACCTAT